AAATAAATAAAATCTTTAAAAAAAAAAAATTAAAAAATAAAAAGCGTTTTTAAGTCCTACCCATCAAACTGGTTTATCCATCCGCTGTAAGTTACTATCTTCACAGAGACAGAGTACATCAAGTTTCACACCTGACAACCATCACCAAATCATACCGACCTTGGGCTGGAGCTTCACACCGACTTCAAGTTGTAAATAACTATTAAAATAATATGATGAATTTTTCTCCTTCTGTATAACATACATACTTGTTGATCTGAGCCAAGAACATTCCCTTCAGCGCATAAAATTCAGCTGTCATCTCTTTTGTAAAGTATTTCAAGTTTGTAGATTCAATCACTTCAAGACCCTGTTTTTTTTTAAAAAAAAAAAAAAAAGGTAGGGAAAAAATTCTTGAAATTCCTAGACAATGGTGTTGAAACTGTATTACAATATTTATCTAAGCAGTAAGCCCTAAAGGTCACTGACAAGTGCACTTGAAGTTGACGGCTGACCTCGCCTACCACGAACAGTTCTTGACTAACAAGCGTACTTAAACTGAATCACTAAATGCCACATTCAGTCCTGGATACCTTAAGGGTACTGCTTTTTCCAAAACTTTCTATGTCTAGTCCGTTTCATTGTTTTTATTACTATTCCTCTGAACATCATCGAAATCTACTCTACATCCTCATAATCCCAGTTTTTCATTTTCTTTCCTTAAATATGTCAACCAAAGACAGTGTAGAACAGAGACGGTAAAATGTACATCAAACACTCAAAGTGGTTTCCTTTCCCTTTCTGGTGGTGAAGGGACTGTTTCTGGGAAGTTCTGACCCTCCTTTCCCACTCTCTGCACCAGGAGTTTCCACGGGACACCCGCGCTCTGCTGGACCTCCCAGAAGAGGGGCGGCCGCCGGCCCCCGTGGTCTCTCTACCTGCATACATTCGTTTTTCCCCATGACTCCTGCCAGCTGGAGGTAGCATTTGACTTGCTGCCGAATCTTCTGGAAGCAATCCACGATAGGCACCGTTGGAATAGTATGAATGCGACTTAATATGTCCAGAGCTACGTTGACCAGTCCTTGTTTGCGGGCGATCTTCCCATACTGGATGATCGCCGACGCGGACGCGTGAACCCCAAGCATGGCGTTGTTTGAACTTGGGTCATGCTGAGAACTGTTTTCGTAGGCAGTTACGATAGCTAGAGAGCAAAGAAAAGAGCTATCAGTCCATGCCAAACCCCTCTCAAAGCGTTCCACAATAAGGCTGAAATAAAAAATGAAAATACGCACACATGGCTTATGAAAACAGGAAGCTCTGTGATAAACCCTCATTACTTTTCCTTGGGTTTTACACAAGGAAGGTACTTGATTCGGAAGTAAGAGGTAAAAAGCACGGACTACTGAGCTGAGCATTACCATCGTGGCTAACTAAATCAGGAATGTGGCTCTAACAGATGCCCGGCAGGTTGAGGGGATGAACAAAGAGGACCAGGAAAACCGGAGAAGGCTCCACGAGGCCACCTTCAAGCAGCTCCTCCTCGGGCGGCCCTTCACAACGAGCACCATACCCCGGAGCTCAGATCCCACCGGCCTGCGCCCCTAGCGCCCACTCTGTTCTAGCTGGAAGAGTGTTAACGGGTGGGGGGAAATCTCCCCATCTTTCCCTGCCTTCCCCTCTCCCCTTGCCAGACCAACCACCACACCTACCAACCCTGGCAGAAATTAGAACATCTGGTAAAAGAAAAAAAAAAAAACACAACAAAACCAAGACATGAAACCAGAACAGCGGGGTGTCTGGAAAATTACATGATGAATGCATGCCGGACCAGGTAGGTTTACCCTGGTAATGATGCTGCCTCCACATGAAGACGCTGCTCCAGTGCGACAAGTCGTCAGACACGATGGGCAGCCTGTTCCTCCACGTCTTCACCACCGTCTTCATGTCGTGCAGGCTGTTGTTCCTGCCCAGGTTGGTGGGCTGTAAGCCGGCATTGATTTGTGCGGCTTCCTGAAGTTCGATGATCTGCTGGGCTGCCTGAACGGGAGCAGCACAAGGGATCCCACAGTGAGCGCCAGTGAGGAAAATAAACCAGAGTCCATCAGCAAACTGAGGACTATAAAGGTCTCCCGGCTCACTTCCCGAAGGAAGCACTCTCGCTTACATAGACGCCTCACTTCCACGTTTCATTTACTCTTCACCCCAAACTCTGCTCTTGCGATCCCCTCGCTTCTACAAGTTCGGCTCTGTGGCTACTGCGAAGTAGGGAGGGAGGACAGTGGTGCAGGTGGCACACCTCGCGGAGAGCCCCCCAAACTCTCGCTCATTCCCTTTGCCACCACCTAAGTTGGGCTCTCCTACCAAAGGCTCAGATTAGAACAGCCTGGCCCGCCTGCCCTCAGGCTCTCCTTCCAGCAACACTCCAACCCCATGGCCACACTAAGCATCTCAAAACACGGCTCGGGCCATCCCTTTGGGCTGGCACATAGGTTTTCCATCACGAACCTCATGAGCCTGTCTAGCTCACTACCTTTTACACCCCAGACGCACTGCTGGCTCCAAACGCCCTGGCCACAATCCTGAGCCCATCCAAGTTCTACCCGTGAGGTTCCACTCCCCTCCCGTGGGGAGTCCTCCCTTCTCTAAATCCTGTGTTTCCTCTGTCCTACTGCACAGCACTGAATCACAGACTCCCTTTGGTGTGAAATTTTGCTTCTTACGGCTCTCCTCTCTCCAGCTAGACGCTCCTCTGGGGCAGAATCTTTGTTTTGAACTTGTTAGAATCTCCTGAGCACAGCACCTAGATTCAGTACTTGCTATCTTGTTGACTGATCTTTTTTTTTTTTTTAAAGATTTTATTTTTTTATTTGACAGAGAGACACAGCGAGAGAGGAAACACAAGCAGGGGGAGTGGGAGAGGGGGAAGCAGGCTTCCCGCGGAGCAGGGAGCCCGATGTGGGGCTCGATCCCAGGACCCTGGGACCATGACCTGAGCTGAAGGCAGATGCCCAACGACTGAGCCACCCAGACACCCCTCTTGTTGGTTGATCTTAACTGTAGATACTCCCTGCAAGGGCCTCTGCTTTCCATCTGGACCTTAAGTTCAGTTCGTTCCCCTCAGTTTTCTGAAACCTCCCTCTCGCCGAAAGCCTACTGAAAGCACAGCAGTGTGATATCTGTTTTATACCAGCTTTACTGAGATACAATTAAAACATCACCGAAATCACTCTGTAAAGTGTGCAATTCGGTAGTTTTTAATATGTTCCTAGAAATGTAGAACCCTCACTACCACCTACATATGGAACGCCTATCTCAATCCAAAAAGCGGCCCCGGATCCGTCAGCAGCCTCCTGTCCTCCCTCCCCCAGCGGGTGGCAACCACTGATCCGAGTTCTGTCTCTGTGCCTTTCCCCATCCCGGACACTCCTCAGAGATGGAATGATACAGCGTGTGGCCCTCTGTCTGGTTTCTCCACTCAGAGCGTTGCTAAGGTTCACCACACTGTGACAGGGCTCAGTACGCGTTCCTTTTTATTGCCGAACGACAGTCCGCTGCCTGGGTCCGCCACTTTTTATTTACTCATCAGCTGATGGTCATTTGGGCAGTTTCCACATTTTGGCCATTATGGATATCGCTGCGGTGAACATGGGTGTGCAAGTGTGTGTGTGTGTGTGTGTGTAGGATCGAAACTGCTGTCATCTAGGAATTCTGTACTTAGTATTTTGAGGAACTGTCAGATTGTTTCCAGTCTATTTTACAATCCCACCAGCAATATACGTGGGTTCCAATTTTCCCCACATCCTTACCAATGCTCATTGTTGTTTTTATTCTATGAGTGTAGTGGGTGTGAGGTGGTATCTCACTGTGGTTTTGATCTGCATTTCCCTAATGACTAATGATGGTGAGCAATTTTTCCCACGCTTGTAAGCTCATTTGTGTATCTGTTTTGTAAATAAAATTGGTTTATCAAATTTGGGGAGTTTTCAGCCATTATTTTTCAAATATTCCTTTTGCCCCTTTTTCTGGCTCCATTCCCTCTGGGACCCCCACTCTGAGTATGCTGGTACACTGAGTCTATCAAGTCTCTATTATTTGCAGAACGAAACCACTGAAGTCTCTGCTCAGGTGGCTTAGGGGTCAACCAGTTAGCCAGAGATGTCCCTAAAGACCAGAACCACTAAGTTGCTCAGCCTTTGCTGAGGGCTGTGTGCCTGCAGCCTGCATTCGACAGTTCTGCCTTAGCCTTCACTTCCTGCTTGTACGGAGCCTCAAGGTCAGGCAGAGGGGTGGGAAGAAGTACGTTCTGTGGAGAGAAGCAGCATGTGTGCGGGGCTGTGGGAGAGCCAAGCAAGTGAATGGTGGCCTGTGTGGCTCGAAGGAGCTATCAGAAACTGTGCAGATGATCCAGCGAGGAAGAAGCTAAGGCACAGGCTACGAAGAGTCTCACAGGATGCACCGTGGCATCACACTGATGGGGGATAGCGGACATTAAAGAAATGCCTGGAGCAAAAATGAGAATCACCAGAATCACTCCTGAGATGTCATCTGTCATTTAAACCCCATGGAAGCTCCAAAAATGAGAACATTTTATTCCTCTGTATTTTGACTCTGGCCTTCCTTCCACTGAGGACAAGTGGAAGGATTTTCCTCCTTGCCGTCCAGCTCGGATTACGGACCTCAGCCTGGACAGGAGGCGCACTTCTGGGAGGGGCCCCCAGGACGGCTGGGTACGCGCGCCACGCCTACCTGGAGAAGAGGTGTGTGCACGTGGGACACCACGTGGGGCAGCCGCCGCCACTCGCGGATGGCCAAACTGCTGGCCATTTCCACCAGGCGCTCGATGAAGCTGAGCTGCTGCTCCTCGGGGTGGCAGATGGCCAGGTATCCACGGTACATGTTGACTTTCCACGCCATCTCTTTGGGACAACTTACTTCCACCTGGTGGCGAAAGAACATTACATGGAAGCAACAGGCAAGCTGCTCAGTACGAAGGGCCAAAAATGCAAGCCAATTTTTTTGTAGCCAATCATGCAAAGCAATAAACAAATTAAGCTATGAATAGATACTTATTTTCTTGGAGAAGACAAACATTTAGATTGCATTTTCTGGATACTCTCCTTTTCCGAATACTAGTGAATAGCCAGTCTCTACAGGTTCTTTGCCTTAAGTCATCAGCAGTTCCAGAAAGGAGGGAAACCGATCAACAACGATGTGACAAACCAGATTAATGATCACCCCTTGGCTACAAAGTCAGCCAGCAAATTTCCAAAGTATTAAATATATGTTCGTCTCCACTTTGATAAATTTTGAATTGTTTCCAGTTCATACTGTTATCCTGGGAAATCGATCTAACTTGTTCCACATTATACAAGGAAGCAAAAGGCAACGATTCCGGTTGGTAAGAATATGAAAGAACATTCATAAATTTGACTGTCATTCAAAGCTGCACTCTGTCACCTACTATAGAATTTCGCCCAGATTTCTCACGTTCTGGTTATCAGCTTTCTCGTGAAGTACACTGAGCCTGGAACTGTCAGATTTCCTCTCCTCGGCTCTAACCCTGCCCCCACTGCCCCCACGTGGCTCAGAGCCACATAAAGGCTCCCTGTGCTCCCCCTTCTATCCTCGAAAGCTCTGTCTGCCACCACCCTCTAAAGGAAGCATTAGAACTGGTCTCATTTTATCAATCTTATACAGAGCATTTAAAAACATAAATGATAAAAATTAAGGTCTTTTCAAAAATAATCTCTGTGTATGAAAAGAAAGGATATCTCTGTTGAAGGTATTTGACAGGACTTGCTGTAACAAGATCAACATAACATTCATTCTGAAACACCTTTGGGCAATAATAAAAATATACACGTTTTAGTGCCAAAATACTATCTGTCTAAATGACAGAAGTATAAGGATGATGATGATGATGACGGTGCCATCCTGCATTTATGTAACTCTCTGGCTTGTTTTTTTTGACATCTTACTTCTTTTAAGCACATTCACATTCATGGCCTGTCTTAGATCTCAATAAGCCAACGATGAAGAAATTTAGGAAGATAAGCTTGTCAAAACATCTGCTTCCAACACGATCCGCTAAAATCACACCAATCGCACATTTTCTGGGCTTAAACACTATTCAAGATAGGCTTTTGTCAATCACCACATCTATCCTCTGTAACACTGAGAACAAAGGAATCTCTTGTTTCAAACACCCTGAAACAAGTTACCCCATCAATTAAATCAAACCAAGAAAACCATACTTCTGCAAGCAGCCCTGAAATCATAATGCACAGGAACAAAAACAGAAGTAATTTGAGTGGTTTTTTTTTCTTGAAATACCAGTAAATGAGTAAATAATTTTGGACTTCTACTTGGACCAAGACTATTTGAATTTACTACAGACAACCCAGAATGCTTATTCGTATACTTTGAGCTTTTTTTCTAATTAGTACGGGCCTTATAATTTTTAGGAAATTATTAAGGGTTTCTGAAAGAAGAAACTTATTTCTCAGACCTATGGACAGCATGGCGCTGCCCGCATCCAGCTAAGAGAAATCCCAGGAAGGGAGAAGAAAGGAAACAGCAGGGCGAACTATAAATATGTACTCAGCAGAACATCTATCAGAGCAAGGACAGAACAATCCACTATAAATGTGTTTTGTCAGAAACAATACACATTTTACTGATACAAGGACTGGTTATCTCTGGACTAAAGTCCCTGCATCAGACGAGCAATTTCCAGGTCCCAAGCCCAAAGTCAAGCCCTGGGCTGTCTCTGCCCTCTGTGGTTCACCATCTCAGTTCTACAATCTTCCATAAGTTAAAAAGCGACATCAGTAACAACATAAACATGATAGCCACGGTACAGGTTCATCGTTTCAAAGACAGCAGCTCTATAATCTCAGTGTGCTTTGCAGTCTCCGAATTACAAGAAGAGAGGAAAATGACTGGTGTGAGTGTCACGAAGCAGGGCTGGGTAGCAGGGCAGGTGAGAACAAGGTGGCAGAACTTCCTCCACCTCCAGCCCAACCACGAACACCACACGGAAAAGGTGGAGACGAGGAGCAGAAGCAGGGAAGGGGCCGAGGGAGAATACGAGCAAAGGGCCCAGATGCAGGGAATGATAAAGAGCAGCAAGAACGGCCGCATCCGAAGACCGTCTAAGCCCAAAGTAATAACGTGTCGTGGGGTTCAGGGGACACAGAGCTGCGCTGTCCCATACTGTGGCTTTCGGATCCCCCCAGCGGGAGGAAGGGAATGGGGTCTCTGTGCCCACTCTCCCGCTGAGCACTGAATTCTTCTGGATGCAGTTTAATAAAAAAAAATGTGGAGCTCAACCCAGTTCACGACTCAGCCTCACTGATCCTATGCTGCCCTCACTTCCACCACAAACACGCTTGGAAGAGAACACAGCTTCATTCAGCAGACTTCTGCCGACAGCAGCGACGAACCCACCAGGGTGAACCCACCAGGATTCACCCTCGCCGCGCTCACCTCCAACAGCCCTTCTGCACCAGACCCGCCACGATGAACTAATGCTGCATCTGACTCCCAAACTGAATACATCTGGGAAAGGTGTTAGAGAACCAGAGATGATGCTCGCTTCCCAAGAGCTATCTCTCATCTGCCAGAATGCCCTGCTTGTTCTAAGTGAAGAGAACTCTCTGGAGATCCACACAATCTGAGCCCAGGATAGTCACCTGGAGGTGGGAGGGAGGTCTCACCTGCACCAATGCCTCCTTCATGGCAGTCCAGTTGGACACTCGCCACGCACACTCCAGGACCAGGTAAGGGTTGATGTGACCTTTGGACTGGCCATACTCCGTCAAGGCTTCCCACTGGTTCAACTCCTTAGAGCACCTTGGAAGACCAGGGATTCAAGAGCAAAAGTTCAGTTACCAACACACCCACAGATTCAGAAAGGGCAAGGGATAGACTTTAAGTTGTTTATTGCGAAAAAATTCTTTCCCCCCACCGGGCAAGGGGTGGTTCCCAAGGTGCCCCACTGCAGAGAGCCCCCTGCTCTCTGAAATAAAGTGTCCCCCTGGACACCGAGGGCCGCCCGCCATGCAGCAGAGAGCCCGAAGCACCAGAGCCAGTGGGAGGCACAGATCATTTGTTGCTTCTCCAACAAATGCTTTTAATTACTCACGGGCTGAATGCTGTTCTGAGGTGGCTCTTTTCTTTATAAGGCCATAAAGAAAGTAGCAAAGTCCCCTTTTAAAAGCACTCATTACAAGAAAATTTCAAAGACCTTTTTTTTTACCGGTTCCCTAACAGACTCCTGAATACATCAAGCACTGTGGCGTACCGAATCCAGTGATCCTCCCACAGCTGGTACTCTGGGAAAATAGCAGGGGACGCGTTACTCCTCTCATGCTCCTTCTTGGCTTTGTCCATTGCCTTTTCGTAAGATTCTTGTGCCTGAAGAAGTCAATAATGCTCTCGATTATTTAGGGCAAGCTGGATCTCAGGCCTGGGGGGTGCCCTACGCTCTTCTCTAGAAGATCACTGGCCCGAGGCTCTGCACACACAGGGAACAGAGGTGGCACGTCATTCCCCCCTCCCCCCGCCCCGCCCTGCACAGAATGGACAGAGTGGAGACTGCCCAGCCCTGGGATGCATCTCTCCATCCTTCAGTGAGGACAGCAGAGGCCACAGCTTGTGTCTGTGCTTCTAGAGTTTCTGTGGCTCAGTGGCCTACACTGAGAGGCTGAGAACCGTTTCCTGGGACAGGGGCCACACTTCAATGAAAGGACAAACATGAGGATTACAGTTTAAACACTAACTACAATCTATCCGCCATTTCCAACAGGACCACTGACTGCAGATAAAAAGCATCCACATTAGCAACCAACGGTAAAGGCTTTAGGACTGAGTTTCAGAAATGTTCGTGTCATACGTGTAGGTTTCTCTTAAATGGAGACTTCAATCAAAGGCCCTTTCTATGTAGGATAAACGCTTGAAATAAACCAGTGAACTAATTTAACACGAACTTTGACTTGACATCATTAGAAATGACCTCTCTTCAGCCATGCGGCCCGGCCATGTCACTGGACACAGGACGCTGGCTACCTGCTCGAAGAATCCATGCTGTTCGTAAGCAATGGCCGTCGCCGTCTCTGAATACTTGCAACGCTTCTGCCACAAACCAGCCCACATATCTTCCTCTTGTAACAAAGAGTACAGTTCAGCCAGGGAATCCAGTATCTCCTGAAAACAGAGCGTGGTTTCTTGAGTGCTCGTGACAATAAGGCAACTTCACCGAGCTGTCATTTAAAATCACTGGGGAGAGGTTTACTGAAACGGGGAGGTCACTGGCAAAGGCGACGGGACCTGGAAGATGAGGCAGGCCTCACCTGTTGAGGTGGAGTTATGCTCTCCTGCTCATAAAATTCCGTCGTTTGCTTCGGCTTAATCTGCAGGCTCAGACCTTTCTCAAAAGCCTGGTGCTCTAGCATTAATGTGGAGCGGAACCAAAGGTTGTGCGTCTTCCCCAAGTACTTGAGCACGCAGGGTCGGATGGGAATCGGGGGGACGCACTGGGACATGGCCTCCACGAAGCAGTTGAGTGCGCTGGGCTGACAGTCCCGCTGCACCTGGTGGCTGCCGCTGCACAGGAACGGGCTGATCTCACCAGCCAGCGCCTGAAACCCAAGAGCGCGCCACGTCAGGTCTCCACTCAAAAATCAGCACGGCCTCACTCTCACGCAGCCTCTGACAGTATTTCGGAAGAATTCACTCTTAGACAACGGTGAGCAGTTCCCTCATCCTGTGACACTTAACAAGATGGTTTTCTTTCACAGATCTTTATCAACACCTAAAACTACATTTTCCAAGACCGGCTTTAAAACATATACTCACGTGCTGCTGTCTGTCAGAGAGAATTTTCCACAATCTGGGAAAAAGCTGGACCCATGTCTTCTCCGCCAGCGTTGTGGAAATGTGACACAGCTGGACAAAGGCGCTGAGCAGGGCTCCCGTCTACAGAAAGAAGAGAGATTCATGGAGCCACGCGGGACGCTCCGGTCTCGTGCTTCATCACACGCTCCTCCACTTTCAAACTTTCGAAGACAGAGCAAGTGTCAGGTCAGAGCAAAAACACAGATTCTGAGCGTCAGGAACCCACGGGCATGCCTACATTTTTTAACTTTCAAGGGCATTTTCTAACCACGTCTGAGAGGTAGGAATGTGACGCTGATGCGGACGTGTGAACGAGGGGCACAGAGATGCCATCAAAACCGAGGCCGCTAGAAACATGAAAGAGAAAAGAGGAGGAGCACGCGCACAGGAGGTAAGTTACTGGCCAAAAAGTACAATTCTGAAGAACAAACCAAGAACTGAGAACTCATCGTCTCGGCAGCTGACGGCGGGGGAGAGGCGGACAGGGAGGAGCCTGGCTGGAACAGGACGCCCTGCGAAAGGGGCCAGGGTCGGAAACAAAGGGCCCCAAAAGTGAACCAAATCCACAGATGCCTCTGTCCACAGCTTTGCTGTTTTTGGAAGTCTGAATTAGCTGCCAAGATTCCTTATGAACAGGCAGGTTTCTAGCCGGCTTGAAGCCGCCAGGCCAATGGGGCCCACGTCCCCACGGAGACGGAGACGGAGCTTCAGTGATGGATGAGCCACGGTTATGCTTTCCTTTCTCCAACCGCAAACCCAGGAGAGGAAGTCATCCTCTCGGTTCATGTCTACCGAAAATGCAGAAAGCAAAGATATAAATATTTCAAGGAAAATGGGGGAAACACTTAAGTGAAGGATGCTTCCGGATGGCACTTAGGCCGCCCCGTGACCCTGGATGACCTGACATGGCTGCTCCGCCCTCCCCGGCCAGTGTGTCAGCAGTCTCCCGGCCCTGGGTCATTTAGCAGAGGCCAAAGCACTGCTGGGCCACACGCGATCACAGACCTGCTGATAAAAATGCTCATCTCGAGCTCAGGTGGAGGATTCTACAGGTTCCTGGCTCGTTCTCATTTACACATGAGCACAGGGAGATGTGAAGAAGGGCTGTGGATGCTGTGTGGCCCTGGAGCACCAGGGACACAGCGAGGGGACACTGGCTTCAAGAGATCTCCCACAGACAGTAAGACGGTCAATTCTGGGACAAGACGCCCACAGCAGAGACGAGAGCAGACGTGCCTGGTTTTGTGAAGGACCTGTTCAGATGCCCCCCAGTCCCTCTAGACTTAGAAACAAATAGTCTGGAGGCACCCACTTCACAGGCAGAGGAGCTTCGGGAATGAAAATGTCAGGGTCGAACTGACCTATAAATGCAGGGATTTTAACCCTACTTTGCTCTATAAAAAAGAGCTTCCATAAACACATGATACAGTAACAGGAACACTCTTGCCATTTGCAATGATGTGGATGGAACTAGAGGGTATTATGCTCAGTGAAAAAGTCAATCAGAGAAAGACAATTATCATTATATGATCTCACTCGTATGTGGAATTTAAGAAACAAAACAGAGGGTCACAGGGGAAGAGAGGAAAAAATAAAACAAGATGAAACCAGAGAGGAAGACAAACCATTAAGAGACTCTTCTTACCAGAGAGGGAGACAAACCATTAAGAGACTCTTAATCAAAGGAAACAAACTGAGGGTTGTTGGAGGGGAGGGGGGGAGGGATGGGGTCACTGGGTGATGGACAGTAAGGAGGGCACGTGATGTAATGAGCACTGGGTGTTATATAAGACTGATGAATCACTGACCTCTGCCTCTGAAACCAATACTACACTGTATGTTAATTAATTGAATTTAAATAAAAAAATGTTTAAATGGGATTGGACCATCAAGAAAAAAAAAAATACATATATATATACACATATATGAACACCACTCCCTCTAACTCCCTAAGCCTCATGGCTGCTTTACTGTTCTCCAGAGTGCTCACCACCTAACACATACATACTGATTTTACTGCTTTCCGTTTATTGCTTGCCCCCACTAGAACACAAGCCCCATGAGGGCTGGCTACTCCTGTCTGTTTCATTCAGTTACCTAGCACTGCTAAAATGTACTCTGATCTTCCACAACGAGCTGATCATCAAACTTATGCCGAGGGAACCAGTAAGTCAGTATCTACATGGTGACTTATCCTGATGACTGTTAGCCATGAAAGGCCTTTTAGGTTTGGGGGCACTGATCCATCACGCTACCTTCTGGCAGTGATGACCGGAGGGACAGGGGCCTAGTAAAGTCTTCAGTCTGTGAACTAGAGAACCTTACATCTACATGTAAGAATGCTCTGCTTCCTGTTCCGTGCACCAGAAGACCAAATGTTTTATGTTTCTCCACACATTAACTGCCACAACTATCACTCAGAGAAAAGTTCAAAGATTGGGGCGCCTGGGTGGCTCAGTCATTAAGCGTCTGCCTTTGGCTCAGGTCATGATCCCAGGGTCCTGGGATCGAGCCCCGCATCGGGCTCCCTGCTCCGCGGGAAGCCTGCTTCTCCCTCTCCCACTCCCCCTGCTTGTGTTCCCTCTCTCGCTGTGTCTCTGTCAGATAAGTAAATAAAATCTTAAAAAAAAAAAAAAAGTTCAAAGGTTGACTTAATGCACAAATTCGGGATAGGTCACTAGAGAAGTTTAAATGCAGAAAACTCTGTGATAACTAGTTTCTAATTTTTTTCACCTAGCTCATGGTATGAACAGAATCATCACTGTTTCTTTGTAATACACCTCAAAAGCAACTTGGTATATGGAGCCTTAACTTTTTTTTTTTTTTTAAAGATTTTATTTATTTGAGAGAGAGAGTATGAGTAGGGGGGAAGGGAGAGGGAGAAGCAGACTCCCTGCTGAGCAGGGAGCCTGACAGGGGACTCAATCCCAGGACCCCAGGATCATGACCTGAGCCGAAGGCAGACGCTTAACCACTGAGCCACCCAGGCACCCCTGGATTTTCTTAGTCTTTAACTAAAAATGATTATACCTATAATTAACCTGAGAGTTTGTGGAAGCGAGAGTTTCTAGCTGGCTATATCTCAAAATAGATGCATTTGGAGGACCTCTCCCTGCAAAGTGAGGTGGACTTGGTTTACCATGTGAACCTATTCTCATTTTCTCCTTTTTTACTGCATTTGAAAAATAATCCAGCCAAGTCTCATCATGTATTTGGTAAACCATTTTACCATTTCTTTCAAGAGGTAGCAGTGGAAAAATTAACTTCTTTTTCTTATTTTCTCCCATAAGATACTGTAAATCCTTTCTCAAATCTTTGCACAGAATATCCACTTCAGAGTCTCACAGAACTATGATGGTGTCGATTGAGAAAGGAAAGAAAGTTAACTGTAATTTGCAGAAGATGACCTCACACTGCTGTGGAGTAGTCCTGCCTGAGGAGTCAACATATTCAGGGGAAAGAAGAACCACCATCCCTCCGAACCCGCACACAGACCTTCACTTCCCGGAGAGTATCAAGGAATTTGTCGTGTCTGTTGGTTAACATGTGCAGCTGGTTTCCAATGTCCTTCTCAGAAAGCTCTTTGGTTTTGGGTGTGCTGGTCTGGTCTCCAGGAGCCAGCTCAATATCGATCTCTACATCCTGCAAGACAAAACACAAATAGGTAAAACCAAAAGGTCAAATGGTTACAGAAAATCCAACAAACACAACTCTTACAAACTTCTTGTTATGTTTTTGAAAGTAAAATTTTGGTCAGTTTCCTCGAAGTTCATTATTATTTAAATAATCTTGAGTTCGGGCGCCTGGGTGGCTCAGTTGGTTAAGCGACTGCCTTCGGCTCAGGTCATGATCCTGGAGTCCCGGGATCGAGTCCCGCATCGGGCTCCCTGCTCGGCAGGGAGTCTGCTTCTCCCTCTCCCGCTCCTCCCTCTCGTGCTCTCTCTCTCTCTTACTCTCTCTCTCAAATAAATAAATAAAATCTTTAAAAAAAAAAAAAAATAAATAAATAAATAATCTTGAGTTCTAGAATAAACAACAAGCAGATTAACTTGACCAGACCTCTCTTTAAGTGACACTATGGAAAACAAAACAAAAAAAAACCAACACTACGAAAAGGTCACTGTTTTGCTCTCCTATTTGGATTGTGGAAAGCAAAATCAAAGTACAAACTTTAAACAGCAAAAATAATAAAGATTATAAGGGATAATAAGGAATTACAGCCTGTCATTCCTCAAAGTGCAAGAGAGCGGTCTAGCTGCCTTGCTCATTCAGATTAAGAATATTGTCAGGGCCACTGTGCAGAACCTGTTGGCACAACGTTTTATAGGACTCATTCCCAGAAAGGAATAAACCTTATTTCTGTCTGAAGCTTCTGAGAAGTCACAGCCAAAATCTAATCATCAAACCAGCCTCTGAGTCAAGTTACCGACCATTTGGTATGTGCCCATGAAAAAGCGGGAAGAATCACTTCAAAGTTGGTAATTTAGTTCACACAGAATTACAGAAGGAAAAGATCATATCACTACATGATCTAGTGTTCAGCAACGGAGAAGAAAATTTTAAATTCTCATTTGTTAATGAAATGAGTAGATACCCCACATATAGGAGGGATCAAACTATCCCTTTTACAGCAAAGAGTGCGCCTCCTCCTTCAATAGCGGCTGCTCTGCTTTTTAAGATTTTATGTCTTTTAGACAAAGTGTGCGTGCCCGCACGAGTGTGGGCGGGGGGAGGGGGGGGCGTCGCAAAGGGCAGGGGATGAGCCTCCCTGCTGAGTGCCGGGGCCGGATGCTGGGCCTGATGCGGGCCAGTCTTTCGACCCTGAGGATCATGACCTGAGCGGAGACCTGAGCCAAAACCAAGAGTCGGATGCTTGACCAGCTGAGCCCCAGCTGCCCCCCGGTAGCTGCTTCTAAAACCCAACACTCCAGGGGGAGACTGAGCTTCTAAGAGCCAACAAACCAAAGGAGACACAGTTTAAAGATCAATGCCTTGGAGCAGTGGCAGCCGCTCCTCTCGGAATGCTAAGGGCCATCAAGATGAGGTATCAGCCCTGGTGGCCAGTTCTTGGCTCTAGGGCTGCCCCTGCCAGGACGAAGTGGAGATTCGGGAGGTTCACAGCAGGCTGCTGGTGGGCACTCCTCCTCAGAGTAGTCCTGTCTGCTACAACATGGGCTACCTAGCACTCAGAGAGAAAAATCACCCACACTAGAGTATCCTATGCTAAGCAGCACCAGCTCATGATAAAGTGAGTTATCTCAAAAGTAAACGGCAATATGAGATGCTTTTCAACTCAACCTAAGTGCCCAACAACAGGTAAATGGATAATGAAGATGTGGTGTGCATATATACAATGGAGTATTATTCAGCCATTAAAAAAAAAATGAAATCTTGCCATTTGCAACAACGTGGATGGATCTTGAAGGCATTTTGCTAAGTGAAATACGTCAGACAGACAAAGACAAATACCATATGATCTCACTCATACAAAAATCTCATAGAGAACAGACTGGTGCTTGCCAGAGGCAAGGAGATCAGGAATGAGCAAAACGAGTACAGACTTCCAGTTATAAAATAAGTAAGTCCTGGGGACGTCATGTACAGCATGGTGACTACACTTAATAACGCCGTACTGCACGTTTGAAAATTGCTAAGAGAGTAAATGGTAAAAGTTCTCATTATAAAAAAAACTTCTCTAACTGCGTGGTGACAGATGTTAACTAGACTTATCGTGGTGACTGTTCAGTAATATATAAAGAAATATTGAATCATTATGTTGGACACCTGAATTTAACGTAATTTATATCAACTGTACCTCGATAAAAAAGAAAGAAAAATCTAACTGAATGCAGATACCACATTCAGAACTTTGAGGTAGAGACAGGTTTTTTTTTCTTGCCTTCCCACCTCCCCCAAATCGAAGGCTGATATAAAATCCGCCAACAGAAACAGGAATTCTGCTGAAGACGAGACAACCATCTGGAGCATTACCTCCTCTTTGGACTCGCTGTTCTCTCGCTCCCGAGGCTCCTGCTTGACATGTGTGACCATAGCGAAGGCCGCTCGGTCGTGGCTGTCGGCCAGGTTGATGACGTTGGTGATGGACGGGAGCATCGCTCCCTGGCAGCTGGTACCAATGGGAGTGCTCTTCTCACACACCGCCAGGAGCAGCTGAAGAGGGTTTATAGAGAAAAAGACGACAAACCTAGGACATTCGCCTGGCATGTGGGGTGCAGGGACTCTCGGTGAAGACCTAGTCCTCTCGACTGCAGCACACATGCTGAGGACTCCTGAGCCCACAGCTCGGCTGTATGCTTCTCCCCAGCTTAGACAGAGCCTGAACCTCCCTTCCAGACACCCCTCACTCAGGATTTCAGACTCCGTGTCTAAGCGTAAGCTCGGGATCTTTCTCGCCTACCAGTCGGGCTTCCTCCTGCCATCAACTCCTGCCTGGACTAAGTTCCTAACTCATCGACTTTCTCTTCTCAAACCTGTCTCCTCACACACAGCCGACCTGAGTGCTCTTCTCCCTGTGTCCCCCCAGTGGCTTCCCACGGCCCCGAGGGGACAGTGCAAGCTCCTCAGCGGGGCTCATGAGCTCTTCTGCAACGTAACACTCCCCACTCACAGCCAGCACTCCCGTGACTCTTCCCCACATCCCAATATGCTTCGCCCCCTGGCCTCTGCCCCTAGGCCTGGCTGCCACTCAACTAAAGCACTCGTGCATTTTTGGGGCAGATATTTACTGAGCACCCACTTGGTGCTGTGTGAGGCCCTGGATTCATTTGTCAACTTCACAAGCAGGCGCCCCTGCCCTGGTAGAGCTGAAGCGTTAGAGGGAAGGACAAGACCAACATCAACACATCAACACACACAGGGTAAAAAATAAAATAAGCAAACAAACCCCCAAACCAAACCAAACCAAGAAGACACATACTCACTGTGATAACACAGCCAGGAGATGGACAGAATAAAGGGTGCCCTGTGACAGCCTGGGTGTCAGGAACGTGGCGTGTCTGGGAACACGAGAGGCCAGCGGGGCTGGCGACTAAGGAGGGAGGGAGGCCAGCAGAGGGCTGGACGGAGGGGCAAAGGTCTGGTCACCTGGGGTCCAGAAAGACTGTATCCTGCGAGTTGGGAGTTTGTGCCGAGTACAAAGGCAAGGAGGGACATGATCCGCTTTATTAAGGACAATTTTGCCACAACAGCAAGACTGTGGTGGGTAGGAGGGAAAGTGGTGACGCTGGGTCAACTGCTCCCATCACCCTTGTGAGCAATGATGGTGGCCACACGAAGGAGGAGGAAGAAAAAAGAGTGAGAAGCAGGTGGCCCTGAACTGGTAACACGCAGTGACAGACCAGACACGCAGGACAAATGAGGGAAGGAAGGGCAGATCTCCAGCTGGCGCCCTCCAACCCGTCCTTCCTCCATCTGCTCCAGCGTGCCTACCGTGGTCAAGGTCGTTTCCATCTCTGTGTCTCTACGACCTGACCCAGGGCTTGGCACGTAACAGCAACCGACAGGTCCCTCGAACCAAAGATGAATCAATCAGGAACTGCCCACTGTGTGGCCATTCGCCAAGCTCCCAACACGTGCTGCACAGAGCGCTATGAAATGCTCACGCAGCACCAACATAAACACGTCAGCAAGTCTCCCTGACGCCCCCGGGGAGAACTGCACAACCGTCGGCCTCACTGGACGAAGTAACGTGGTAGGTCACCTGCTGGCTCCACCCATTCCGCACCAGCAGACCAGGATCACCCGCCAGCATCGCTAACCCACGGGAAACCAGGCTGCCTGGTGCAGCAAGGAGGTAACTAAGCCAACGAAGGATCGTGGATTTCAATAACAAACCAACAAGAAACCAGAAGTCTCACTACCATCCTGTCAGCAACATCATGAACATCTGACCAGGCACTGAAACAGTCTGACGGGTTTACACAGGCCCTTGTCACCGGCACCCCGACTCCTCATACTGAGGGCTCCAAGTCCGTGGCTCGGTCAGGCTGCTCTGGCCTGGCTGCCCTATCTTCCGGCTCTAAGAACGACAGGACCCCACAATTACAGTACATTACATCCGTAAGGGCACGTAGACAGAATTTACAATTTTTATATTCGAGGAAAAATGAATCTTTTAGCTATAAGCTAGAAAACGCTATTCAACTTTCTAAGAGCTTAAAATCACCCCTAAAAAACTCCTTGAGCTGAAAACACAACTTTAAGTCTTTTTTCTTCCCAGAAGACATTAGAGCAGGTTAGGGTAGAGGCTTCCAATCCCTCCCAGACAGTGCTAACACCCCCTGGTTTCGGCATCACAGACGCTGAGCTGAGCCCGTCCTACCTCAATGCACTGCTTAATCCAGAAGTGGTTCCCCATGGCTTCCCAATTCTGGGAACATGTCACATAAAGCAGGCGTTCGTAGACCCGACGTTTCATGGAGTTGTCAAAAACCTCGAAGAACTTTGCCCTGATGAGCGGCTGGGCACAGCGCAGCCCAGAGAGAAAGGCTGGCTCGAGTTTTGCGGTCAGCTCACTGCCCGACAGCGTCTCATCCCTGAAACGGAAGGAGTAACACGGGTTGGAAGAGCCGCGGCAGAGGCAGCCTCTGCAAGCCGCAAGCAGGGGCCAACGTTCCGGAATGCCAGGACGAAAGCCACGGGTATATCACGAGTCCCCTGGGCTGATGCAGCATTTGAGCAAAGGTGTGTTAACGATGCCAAAATATGTTAACGGCACTTGGTGTTTATATGGACAATCAAGCTTTAGCTATCATGAAAGATTAAATGTTACATCGGTTACTCCAAGGACACACTGGGAACACATACGTGCGGTATCTGGCTGATCACTCTCGTTACCTGTAGACATAGTTCACGAGGTCTAAAAACTGGGCGTTTAATTCGAGGTCTTCCGGAAAGCGCTTTTCTATGTAGGCCATCATTTTCACGAGCAAAATGGACTTCTCCCGGAGTGTAGGCGTCTGTATGAATTGGGGTGTTTTTTTGTTGTTGTTTTTTAAAAGAAAAGGTCAATTACTTCTATTTGAAAAAAGACACATTCAAAAGTATTCCAGCCATCTGTCCTATTATCTTTTAAGCTCCTACAACTTTGTCTGTAAAAATAAGACAAGATCATTTCTAAACACAAAAATCCTGGCTCTATCTGCAAATACTTAAAATCAAGACAGCTGCCGATCCAATTTTCCTACAGGCTGCAGCTCACTTTGAAGAGAAAGCAACTAAATTATACAACAAATCAGAAGTTTGCAAGCATCTTACTAAATTAATTCTATTATAGTCCCTCACTATTAATTTTGGGGGCTTACCTTTACCACTACAAAGACTAAGAAGTAAGGTTCATTTAACATTTTAATACAAGTAAAACCACATTCAGAGGAGTGACCACTCATTTCAAGCTTCTAATTACAATCTGGTAAGCACAGTGAGACAAATTCATCTTGAGGAAAGATACCGTCAGTACCAACACAGGGGAGAAAACGTTTTGCTGGAGAATTTTCAGAAGAGCTGAGAAAACCGTGCTTGAACTTACACACACACACACACACACACCACACACACCACACACCACACACACACACACACACACACGCGGAGGCGGGGGGGCCTGGCCAGGGCACAGCCCCTCTGGCTGCTCACCTGATTGGCTGCCATCGGGGAATTGTTTTTAACCCACTCTTCCACGATTTTCACCACAGCCCGTAGGATCTTGGCATCTGGTGATTTCTCAATGAGGGAGGTCAGGATGGCCTGAATGAAGTTCTTCCTCATCTCCATGCTCATAACGGCTAGGCGCGTCTTCACCAGCTCCAGACTCAGCATCACCAGCTCACCGGTTCCTGCTCACGCAGAGAAAGACGACGCACCCCAACAATCACATGTGCGTCCACGGGCCACCACTCTGCATTATGTGGCACGTCGGAGTCTGCCCATCACGGCTCCCCCCCCAACATTTTCTCCAGTGAGAGCTCTGGGATTTGAGGTGCTGCTTCACCACTTCCCTGCTACTCTGCCCTGTGAGGGTGGCCTCCTAAGAGCCTCCACACGGACGAGGGGACGATGGAATGGATGAGCAGCTCGGGGAATCCAGACACAGCCAGTCCTGAAGCCGCATTCACGGCACTTCTGTTCCGAGCTGCCTCGAACAGCGGTGCCAAGCTAGCTCCCGCCCACACCGACGTATCACTCAGGTTCCTGGGGCCCACTGCTCAGGCCCGGAACCCGCAACTTAATTCTTCGTCAGGCATGACAGCTCTGGTTATGCAATGCGTTTTAACCATTCATTAGACAGCCCTCGTTTAGTGGTGAATGTTCCACATCAATGTGCAACCACTTAAAAATTTCTTCATCCTCATAGTCACAAATTTGGAAGGTAATTCGTTTTAAAAACGAGTCTCACTTTGGTTTTAAATGAAATGCTCAGAACCTCTCTGTTGAAAGCACACGGACAAGGGACTGCATAAAAACAAAAGGAATTCACGTTCGGTTCAGAATTCAACGGAGGTGTTACACAAAGTCTGAGAAAACCCACGGGGACCACGGTTGTCACCTGAGGTCGCTTCCGTGCTGCCCGACGCTGCCTGTGGGTTCAGGTGCTCGCGGACCATTTTCTGCAGGGAGCGCATGAAGACTGAGATCAGCCTGTCTATGTAGCTCGGGTTGTTGCTGCAGGCGGACTTGAGGATCATAAGGGTCCCTGAAAGGCAGAAATTTGCTGGTTGTTTTTTTTTTTTAGAAAAGTTTAAAAAACAAAAACAAAAATGTGCCTTTTAAAACATTTTAAAATGTGTTAAACAAAAATGTGCTCTTTCTGACAAAAGTATAGATGAGCCCCAAATGTCAGCGTTCTAAGTTTTTGTAAGGCACATGCTACACTTTGTGGAGTGCTGTGTTTTCACTCCTAATTCTTAATTCATGATCAACACCAGGCACGAGAGCCAATTTCTGCGCCGCGGTAGAAACAACATTCATACCTTCAGTTCTGGATTTTATCTTTAGTTTATAGCAAAACACCCTAAGTGAAATTTTCTGTCCCATGATATGCTTGGGGGGGGGAAAGGAAGAAAGAAAATCCTTTAAAAAAAAACCTAGAGTATCTGGACATGATGAATATTTTAGAAGTCAATTTGTACCCATTCTGTAAAATTGCCTAGGATCAATAAAAATGAGCAAAATGTCAGCACCGACACGAAGTATGTGAAAAAAAATGTTACCTTTCCTAGCTGACATTTTTATGACCTACACGTTACATTTTAAATTTATATCCATGGCTCCCATTATAGACCAATAAAAGGGTATTTATTTGCCATTTATAGGTGCAATCGGTACAGATTTGGACAATTTCTCAGTAGAGAGTGAATGTATGATCAGTCTGATTCTACAACAGGTAACCTGACACACCTGTGACGATGGCTCAGTACCTGAGCCTCAGGGCGAGGACAGGGAGGGGACTGGGGTGACCAACTCTCCAGACCCCAGCCGCAGTGCCGCCCCCGTCCCCGGCCCGCTGTCACCCTCACAAAGGAGGGAGGCAGGGCCAGTGGTGGTCAGCTCTTCTCAAAGAGAGTCCTCTGGAGAATTAACAAGACGTTTATGCTGCTCTGGAAGCCAGGTTGCAAAGCAGGATCTACTGTATGATCCCACTTTTAAAAAAGTCACAAAAGTATTCAACTATCTAAATCTATCTGGTTCTAGAATAGGCACGGCAAGCTTGAACAGTTAGGGATACAATTTTAACTAAATTTATCTGGCTCCTGAATTTCAGATAGCAAGTAGCAAGAGTTTGGAGAGCAAGAAACTCATTAAAAAATAATGTATTCAGTTTGCAAATTCAGAAATAAGTGTTTGCATGACAAGGGCTACCTGTACGTATATTTATATCCTTGTATATAGAAAAAAGACACACGTCAAGATGTTAAGAGTAAACGTTACTAATTACAGAGGCAACTTTTAGTTCTCCTTCCTTTGTACTTTCAAAATTTTATACAATGACTAAGTTTGAAAAATTTTTTAAATTTCTAACCCAAAGTCTAATCCTCCTCAGAGATGGGAGTTTTCACAAAAATCAGACTTCTGGGTATCTCTGGAGGCCAAAGTCGGTCAGCTGCCCCGATTACCTGAGAAACCAACTTTCATTTCATTTCAGCCAGAGCCTCACCGAGCAGACAGGGACTAGTTCTTGTCTCGTGAGTGGTTTACTAACAGGTGGGCATATTATGAAAGGTAGTAGTTATCCACATTTGCACACAGCTTTGGCAGCATCTCCGTGTTCGACGCAGAACTGGGTCAGCAAGATCCACGAAACACGGGACTGTTCCCCCACAACCCGATCCTGCATCTGAGGCTGAGGCGGCAGGGACTGAGGGAGCACAGACATTGGTCGGGCGGAGGGCGTTCCCCTAAGACCACAGGAGACAGGGGCCTCACGTGTACCAGACCACACACACACACACACACACACACACACACACACAGCACACGTCAGCTCAAAGCTCCTTCCGACATCCCGAGACTTTCCCAGAAGGAAAGTTCGTCCAGAGAGCACGGAGAGATCCATGCCAAATGGAACGGCTGCTAGAAAAACCAGGGCAGACACACACTCACCAAAGAGCTGGGAGGGATTTGCGTTGGTGGCCTTCTCGTAGTTGGTGAGTCCTTCGTAGATGACCTTCCCGACGGCCGCGTAGAGGCACTCCAGCTCTTCGTACTTGGAGGCCACACTGGAAGTGCCTGCAACAGAAGCGAGAATGTGGGCCCTGTGGTTCGGGTTCTCAGGCCTGTCCGGGCTCTGGGAGGCCAACTTTCCTCACACTAGACACTGAGCTTTAGTTTTCTTGGGATCTGCAGCAACTGGCCCGGGTGCTTCTTTCCCACTGCAGGACGCGTGGTGCTCCTCTCTGGGCTGCTTCTGACTTGACCAAGCTAAATGACGTCTTATCTCACCACGCCTAACCGGAACACGCTCAAGATACACTTATGTGGGATATGCCAAAATCCCATCTTGGCAGCTGCTCGACATTTGACAACACATGACCCAGTTCCCCTTTACTGCCTTAAGGAAATGGTCACGTTCGGCTGATGAATAACAGCATTTCCAAAGCAAAACAAAAAATACAACGTCATGACTGCTGCCATTAAGTTCTTATGTCTATTTTTTTTTTTTTAAAGGAAGGTCGAAAGCACAAAGAAAAGCGGGATAATAAAACACTCCCTACGGTAACCAGAGGATGAGCACTCTCAAGTGACACTCTCTGTGCCCTCCCATCCACTCAGGCACCAGGGGAAGGGTCACCTACTTGGCTCTGTTGGGAAAATGCTCATTAGGCGGGAGAGGAGGCTATGGACCGCTCGGAGAACCTTGGTGTTTGCGCACGTCATGCACGCGGCGATGCCTCGCTGCAGGGGTTTGAAGCTACTGAGGATGGCCGGAGACTGAAGGACAGTGAGCAAGAAACTCAGCACTTCCAGCCCCGTGCAAATATTTCCATAGTTGACTTGATTAGGTTGCTCCTGGAATGGAGAACACAGGTCACACACAGACGTCATCAATACTCTGGTACGGTCCATTACAGAAACACAAATCAAGCACAACTTAAAATTAGTTAAACCTCCTAATTTAAAAGCTCATGGAAAATACTAATACTCAATATTAAAAGGTGAAAACCAGGGGCACCTGGCTGGCTCAGTCCGTACAGCATGTGACTCTCAATCTCAGGGTTGTGAGTTCAAGCCCCACGTTGGGTGTAGTGATTACTTAAAAATAAAACTTAAAAAAAAAAAAAAAAAGGAAAATCATTAAAATTGGTCTAAAAAATCAATCACTGAATTCCACTTCTCTCGTATCATTTTTATTTACAATACAAATATCCTTCCAAAAGGAAGTATCTTTGAGACTATGGGTCATGAAATCAATCTAACAGATGATGCTAGCATTAATAACAGAAAATAGAGCGTATGGTTTGCAGTAAAATATTGCTCCTTGAAACGTTTGTTTCTGTGGCTTGCACACACAGATGCCCTGCATATACACCGTGTGTGCTCACTGGGTTGAGATAAAATCTTCCACTTACTGTGGGGACAAGGTGGAAAGCTGCTGTGAGCTCGGCACTCTGCATCATGGAAACGTTAGCCTATTACGTGCCAGAGGCCATCCGCTAATGGCTGAGCTCGACTCAACCGTGACTGCGTGTGACAGTAATTTGAATCAAAGCATGTACTGCACACAGGCAGCCTATGATCACACAGTTTTCACAGCACAGGGAATCTATAACCTTTCAAAAACTGAGGCAATTATGTTAGTCTTTGCCATGCAACATAACAAAGATTTAAAATGGGGTTGTAGCAGCCAGAAATTACAGGATCATGGTTTTTACAGAAATAAACCAAATAAAAAACCCACCAAATAATCAGCACTGGGGGCTTATTTCTTTGCTACCAGACTTTACAGTGCTCAATAACAATATATTATATGTGCCCTCTAAAAATTCACATTTATTTTAGAGGTTGTCGCATAAATCAACTAAAACTATTTATCCCAAGCCAGCTGGGAAGTCAGTTTAAGAAACGAGATTTCAGTAGGCAAGAGAACTAGGACGTTTCCAAAGCTCCTCACTGCTTGGGGCTGGGGGCTCAGGCTCAAGTTTTAAAATCTCTTCCAGGGAGTGAAACTCCCTGCTCCTCCTTAGCGGTCACGACTGGCTGAGGGACCGGAGGGTTCAGGGTTCCGCGGCCCGGCCCCAAGCCCGCACGCACCACACTCATCAGCAGCTTGTCGAACCACTGCAGCTTGAGCTCAGACTTGGACCACATGTCCGGTCGCAAGGCGGTCTTCAGGAGAGTCACACACCGGCGAGACAGCACCTCCCCAGGAGAGCCGGCCGTGTTGGTGTTGTCGTTGACCTGAAAATGCACTCGGGTTCGAGGCCCCGTCTCACCGCGGACGTCTCCAGTGTCCTGACACTGCCTCTCGCCCGCACAGCCCAGCTTTCTCCTCCCGGCCACCTCCTCTCCCACCTGACTCAACGGGGCCTCCTCTGCCTCAGGGCCCCTCTCAGACGGGGCCCTCCTGCCCCCTTGCTAGGGGGTCAGGTCAGTGGTGATGTGCACTCGTTTGTGTGACGGATGGATCAGTGTCAGGCAGCTCCCCAAGAGCAGGGCCTGAGCTCCCCCCCGGCCCCACAGATCTCCCGGGCCGTGCCTAGTGCCAGAGCACCAAGAAGGCACTGACTGGTTCGAAAATTCAGTAGAGTCTTCTCAATACTTTGAAGTCCTCACCAGTATGGCAAGACCTACTACTCCAATAATTATATAAACGTAAGATCCCCAAATTCTTAAAAAAAACTAGTTAGAAAAATTTCATTTACGTTTTTTTTTGAAAAGGAAAAATGAAGTTTCAGGAATAGATTTCCAACAAATCCATGAAAATACACTGACGTGAATAACAAACACAAGTTTTACTTATTTATTTTTTAAAAGATTTCATTTATTTATTTGACAGAGAGAGACACAGCAAGAGAAGAACACAAGCAGGGGGAGTGGGAGAGGGAGAAGCAGGCTTCCTGCGGAGCAGAGAGCCCAGACGTGGGGCTCGATCCCAGGACCCTGGGATCATGACCTGAGCCGAAGGCAGATCCCCAATGACTGAGCCACCCAGGCGCTCCACAAACACAAGTTCTAAAGGCACTTAAATTACTAAATGTTGTACGTTAATTTATGTATGTTGGATCATCCCAGCAGCACCTTTATGAGGCAGGTACCTTGGAAGTTAAATAATGTGCCCAAGATCACTGATCTACTGCCATTGTTTTGCCAACACCAAGATGCCCTTAATTATAAGATACCCCCTTACTGGGGCACCTGGGTGGCTCAGGTGATTAAACGATTGCCTTCGGCTCAGGTCATGATCCTGGGGTCCTAGGATCAAGCCCTGCATTGGGTTTCCTGCTCAGCGGGGAGTCTGCTTCTCCCTCTCCCTCTGCTGCCACTCCCCCACCCCACCGCTTGTTCTCGCTCTCTGTCAAATAAATAAAATCATAAAAAAAAAGATACACCATTACTTCATCACCACTGAAAGAAAAAAATGTTTCAAAAAAATCTTATCACTCGTAAAACATAGGCAGGTTTCAGAAATATTAGCATGTCATGAAATCAGTCAAATTTGGCACGAAAGTGACAAAGCTAGTCTCAGACCTTGGTTTGTCTATTTCTGTCAGAGATAACATTCTGGATTCTACTAAGAAGTTTTTGTTCTCAAGAACCCCTAGCAAAAGGCACCCAGGAAGCTGCACCTGACAAGCCACGCGGATGAGGAAGTTCACCACGGTGTCTGTGTGCTGCTTATCTATGGGCTTGGCAAGAAGGGTGTCCGCTCCGGGCAGCGACTGGCTCCTCCCAAACACCTAGAAGAGGCAGCAAGAGCATCCCAACGACGCATTCGCAACACAGGGCACTTGTGCCGCCAGCTCACAGGATGCGGTCGTCCCGGGGGCAGACGCTGCTCTGCGCGCTGCCCGGACTTAGATTTGGGAAGAGAGCCATCGGACTCTGCTTTGTGGAATGTGTGTGCAAGAGGAGGGAGAGGAGCTGGGAGGCCCTGCGGTGAGCCGGCAGGGCGCGCACCACGAAGACCTGCTTGCCCCCGCCGTGTGCGGACACGTAAACGGACAAAACCTCACGTGGTTCCGGGAGTCCAACCTGAGCACAGGTGGATGCAGGGACCACGTCCTCGGGGGGAGTGGTGAAGGGAGGGACAGTTCAACCGAGGCCCAAAGTGACAGAGTCGTCACCTCCACAAGGGGCGAGGAGAGTGAGCATCCCCAGGGCTCTCTTGGCGGCTGCCCTCCAACAAAATAGGACATAGTCTTTTAAAATACCGAACACAACGTGGGTGCACGTTCTCAATCAATTCTCTTACCCTACAGTTTCCCTCAGAGCCTTACTGCAAGGAATGAACCATTCTCGTCAGAACTCTGAGGGTATCAAACGTGCATCAAGAAAAACGTGGGCTGACTTGGGAAACACCCGCGGCTAAGTCGGGTGTCACTGGGTTTCCCCCTGTTGAGCGCAGCCTCTCCCAGCTGTGTCTTGGGCACGGTGCCGGGCACTGAGGCCACACTCAGAATTTGTGGAACAAATGAACAAACTCCCTCAAGGAAGCGCAGAACCCGTAAAAGCAAGCGCATGCTTACCGCGCTGATGGCCCCCGTGGCCGTCCTGAAGCGTTTCACCTCCTGGGCGGAATCCACCGACAGGCCTCTTTTAATAGAGGATGAGACAGAGTTGACGCCTTCTCCGCTTGAATTTGGGTCCATGTCTGAATCCGGCTTAAAAACACACACACACACACACACCCGTGACTTTGTGGACTGGTTTCTAGGGAGCAGCAGAAGGAACGTCATCTGGGACGACAGAAGGCTGGTGGCCACACCTGCTGGTCCTTGATCCTCTGCAATTCCCACTTGATGACGACTTCGGACAGGTCCACGGCCAGCCTCCTCTGCTCGATGGTGACGCTGGGCGTGAAGCCTAACCTCTGCATGGCGCTGACCATGTGCTGCACCAGGTGGTGTCGCACTGGGTAGTACACCTGTGGGCACGGGCTCCGCGTCACCCCAGGGCTGCGGGACCACGCCTCCGAGACCCGAGCACGAGGACGCCCACGCGCGCACACACACGTGCACTTAACCCAGACTTCTGACCTGTGACTCAGCGAGGAAATTCTCATCACCTTATGGATGTACATATCACCCCCCACCCCAGCCCCTCGCTGAGTGCCAACAGAACACTGTACTTCAGCCCTGTAGTACCATCTTTTTTTTAGATTTTATTTATTTATTTGACAGAGAGAGACACACACAGAGAGAGAGAGAGAGAGCACAAGCAGGGGCAGAAGGAGAGGAAGAAGCAGGCTTCCCGCGGAGCAGGGAGCCCGATGTGGGGCTTGATCTCAGGACCCTGGGATCATGACCCAAGCCGAAGGCAGACGTCTAACGACTGAGCCACCCAGGCGCCCCCCTTTAGTACCATCTTTAAAGAATGGTGAAACACCGGGATGCCTGGGTGGGTCAGTTAAGCATCTGCCTTCGGCTCAGGTCATGATCCCAGGGTCCTGGGATTGAGCCCCGTGTCAGGCTCCCTGCTCAGGGGGAAGCCTGCTTCTCCCTCTCCTTCTGACCCTACCCCCCTGCTCACGTGCAATGCGCACTCTCTCAAATGAATAAAAAACCTTAAAAAAGAATGTTGAAACGCCAAGTTCTCTCTAGGTAGGCAAAACTAGTAACATGTACCAAACTTCAGACTTGATGTCACAGACATTCAGCCATACCAAGAGGCAAATCTCCACTTCTAAAAGAGCTGGCTATAATGAATTTTCTCCTCTACCTGAAATCTACAAGGAATATCTACATTTGAATCAATCTAACAAAGTGGGGGATTTGGCTCTAAAGAAGGAGGTGCCAACGACACAAACAACTCTTCGAGCCAAGTTACCAAAACCTAGAGTTAACGATGACTACCTCCCAAAGTACTGAGTATCGGTACTCACTGTTACCCGAGTACTTACAAGAAAAACACAGTCCTAGACAGAAGCAGATACCTGGGACATAGTCTCTAAACCAGAACCATTTCCATGTTGACAAAGCACCCCTCCATCCCTAAACACACATCGGACCAGAAATACCTTTACCAAAAGATGAACAGCCACCTTATTACTGCAAATTAAAGATAAGCAAAAGGGCAAAGCCAATGCCTGGGCATGCAGAACAGCCCCATCTACAGTACTTTCTACACACCTTGAAATGCTGCACGATCAGATGCAGAATGTGAACCAGCTGAGGGACCGTGTGGCCCTCCTCCACGATGATCTTCCTCGTCCAGTGGGTCAGCATCTGGTGCCCATCCTCCATCCTAGCAGGCACTGCTGGAGTCAATATGGCCATCGCTTGTCTGACGATTGCTCGAGCTTCCATCGCGTGGGCCTTGAGCAGACTGTGAAACACCTAACGCAGGGAAGAGACTCTTACTTGGGATGAGAACAAAGGCTCAGAGAAACAAGAAAAATCCCAATCACTCTGAACCAAGGCAAGGTACTTCTTTTTTTTTTTTTAATTTTTTATTGTTATGTTAATCACCATACATCATTAGTTTTTGATGTAGTGTTCCATGATTCATTGTTTGTGCATAACACCCAGTGCTCCATGCAAAACGCACCCTCTTTAATACCCATCACCAGGCTAACCCATCCTCCCACCCACCAAGGCAGAGTATTTCTGCAGAATGATTTTTACAAAATTCCTCAGGGCTATCTTATTAGGAAAGAACGCAATTGCTTTCTCCTTCCTTAAGTTTTGAGTGATGCACACATTCATTCCTTCCCTCCTGAGCACCCACTTTGGGCCGATGCCGGGCTAGCGTGCCGTATACAAAGATGAGTGAGATCTAGCTCCCTGCAGGAACCTGCTCTAGTGTAACCCACGGGAAGTCAGCTGAAGCACAGAGACGCTTTCTTTCTGGCCACCGTGTGGCAAATGGAGCTGAAGGGGCTGCTGTCAGAGGCATTCTCGGAATAGTGCAAGTGAGAGGTGACGTCCTGAGGTAAGTAAGGTCAGAGGACACAAAGATCACCTGATAGGTGCTAAGGGTGGAGGGGACAGGACAGGTGTTGGAAATCAACAGGATTTGCACATACCCGGACACCGGGGGGCACTAGAGGGTGTCAGGGATGGTCCTTGGGTCTCTGGCTGGGCGGACAGCGCCACAGAGACATGCCTGTGGGAGGTGATGTCTGAGGCCATGGGCTTTGTCGAGGTCTGGGGTTTAACACCACAGAAGCTCACAAGACGAAGCGGTCAGAGGAAAACAATTAGAAATGACCTCACAGAATAGGACAAGGGTGATCATTTATAAAGTGTTAATGGGACAGACAGGCTGAGCACTGAAGTAGATCACTACCTTTAATTCTTACAGAGACAATAATTGACTCACTCAGGGTCACAAGAACTTGTGACTGCAAATAACAAACTCAAACCCAGGGCCGCCTGGCATCAAGGCCTAAACCACTGAGGGACTCAGGGAAGATGTGCTCGTCATCAGCAGAGGGTCAATACAGCATGAGGTTCTGAAGTGCCTAGTATCTTTAGCTAAGGAGTGGGCTGGGCCCTTCCAGAATGGTTTCAATGGACCAGCAGAATGGAAGCCAGTAGAGGAACGCAATGCGTAGAGGAGCATGAGGTGGACAAAGGAGACGTTTTGTTGTTTTGACAGCAAGGCTGCAGAGGAATGAGAGAGCAGAGCAGTAACTGGGGAGGAGGAGAGAATGCACAGTCACGGGAGGGTTCACGGCGCTTATAAGACGGCAGAAACGAGCATTTTTAATGGTGCTGGGAAAGACGACAGGAAAGAAGGCCACGACCGTAGGAGGGGGCGGCGTGTACATGTGCGCAAGCCCACGGAGTGTCGGGAGGAGTGGAGGGGGGCCGGGAGGGAGCCTCGTGGTACCTGAAGGACGATTTTCTTGTGTATGGCGAATTTGGCAATGATGTGCGCCAGAAGTAGGTGGCCACTGTATTTGCAAGCCGGATCCACGCAGGCCTTGGAGAGCAGGCAGGGCCACGCGAAGGTCATGAGGCGGCGTAGCTTGCTGTTGCGGTTCTTGTTGTTGTCGTGGATGTGGTGGGGCGCGTGCTCCACCAGCAGCGTGGCGTACTGCAGGAGGTAAATCCTCAGGGAGTCCAGCATGTCCGCCTGCTTCTCCGGGTCCAGGACCTGCGGGAGACACAAGCAGGAAAGCTCATTTCTGGCCCTGAATCGTGTCACCTACTAAGGGTTATACAACACGCTTGAAACTTTTAAAAAACGTGCGCAAGCACACGCACACGCTATATATGTGTACGTAACATCAAGTTTTACGACAAGGGAAGCAATGTAACATCAATTTTCCTTTTACGTGCATGGATTAGAAACTCACTGAATTTATTTCAATGCCGGAGGGCAGGCACCCCCTGCAATGGGTGAAGGAACCTGAGGGGACAAGGAGGGCCTCCTCTTTGATACAAGGTGATTGATTCAGGGTGGAGTTTCTTAATTTCCAAGTAGTTGGGATTTTTCCTAGTCAGCTATTAATCATCTAGTCCTGATTTTTCAGTATTATGATCAGAAAATGCCACCTAGAAAACAAATCTCTACTTTAATAAAACTATTAGTTTTTTTGATTGAATCAAAATATATATCTATATATATCAAATACCTAATAGAGTTCCGCGTTTTGTGAATATAAGAAACATAAGAAAAAAAGCGCACTCCGAGAACACTCCACACGTCTCTACTGAATCCAGGGCACGCCTGCATCATTCAAGTGGGCATCCTGACCACCTTCCGTCTACCAGAAAGCTCTGAAAGGCTGAAGTCTCCCCCACAACTGTGTTTTCATCAGGGCCCCTTGAGCCCCCTAAGCGCCCTCTTCCCTGGATTTGCTGCTTCCCGATGGCCCCACCCCGGGGCCCCCACCTGCGCACTGCCATCTGTCCTCCGACACTCAAATCCCAGCTCCTCACTTGATGCCGCGTCAGCAGCATCCGACCCAAAAGACAGTCTAGAGAAGGGAGCACGGGGGAAGGGGCCGCGTCTGGGTGACCATCTCCCCACAGTTGCCCAGAATAAAGCAAATACCAGCATGGGGACTCACAAAGATCCCTTGGGCTCAGCTCGCATTCCTAGAGAGGGTAAAGCTGGGGTGAAAACTGCAGGAAGGAGGCTTGTCTTTAGGGACAAAGACTATGTAAGGACCAATAAACTGCCAGTGAGAACAGTCCCCTCCACCTGGACCCCAGGACGGAACAGCGACCAAGCGGTGAGAAACTGAGTCCTTCCCAAGGGCATTCGTGCATATGTGGCAGGCTGCTGAGGAATGCCCGTCGCTCACGCACGCCAGCGGAACGACGTGTGAACAGAACACTCTACCAACCTCAAGGCAAACACGGCACCCGCCGGCAAAGTTCGAAGGCCTGCCGTGCACGGGACAGGCCCCGTGAGGAACACACTGGGCGGGCATTTCTCAAAGAAACACACCACCCCCCTGCTGCAAACTGGAAACACAAGTGTAAAAACGCAGAGACTTTTAACACCTAAGGTAACTTCAGACGTCACTGCCGCCAGCCATGGTTTCGTGAACCTGACAACCAGACCCGGTCTGATGTTCCCACTGATTTTTGGTAGATTCTTTTGCAAAGCTAAAGACGAGAACTGTACTTCAAATACGACCAGCAAGAGGGGTTTTTACAAAATAACTCTGATAATCTGAGTTTTCACTGACCTATGTTCTATTTCTCACTGGACTCTATTAGTGTGGAAAGTCAATGCATCCTAAAGTAAAGCTGCCTTTAAAACTGTACCAGTAAGAATTATAAATGCTCTACTATAAATTAATGCAAGCATGAAAAATAAAAACCTTAGGAAAATATGTTTTTCAACAAACCCATCACACATGCTCACACACTCACACGCACACATTCTCTCTCACTCCCTCATCTGCTAAGTTACTTTTTGTGCCAACATATTATTAGTGACGCCACCTTGGTTATAAACACGCTGGTGATGCTTTCCGGGTTATCGCCTTCTGGATTGGGAGGTCCTAAGAGCTGTTCTCCTTCCCCCTTCTCAAAGCTGTATAAGAAAGCAGGATTCAAGATATGCTGCAGAACCTACAAAGAAATTTAAAAATGAAGGAGGAGGAAAAGCAAAGCCATGCTCTTCATTTCTCTACTAAGGTGGGTGGGACCACCAGCAGGTCACTTTGCACCCGAGAAGTTAGAGCTCAGTCAAGGGTGTGACTTATCATCCTGACTTTTACTCAAGCAGTCGGCTGGAAAGGGAGAGTGAAACAGGAGGAAATGCGACGTCAGTCTGTCTACTCTTCTCATGTCTGATAAGTCATTTTCTAAACACAAGGACACTAACAAACTACTTCTCAACACCGGTTCACTCTGGATCTGTCGTGTGCTCCTCAACAAGGGCATTTTCCTCACGAATAGTCCAGACCACTGTGGACACAGCAGAACACCAACAGTACTCTCGCTTCCCTAGAAAACGAGCTCCTACGCCCACAGCTCCCCCTGCCTCACAGTGGGACTCACCTTGGCTTTCAGTTCGTCACCAAAGTTGGGGTCATTGAAGTCCACAAAGCGAAAAAACAGGGCACGTTTTTGAGAAATGTTGTAATTTTTGGGAATCTCTTCCTCCATATACTCCTTCAAGAACGTCATGTTGCAGAGAAAACGACCCGTGAAGGCCCGGAGCAGCTGGAATAGCAATTCTATATCTCCGTAATTCCTTCTGCAGGGCCAAACAAGAACAGATTAGGTCACGGCCTGCTTCACGGCCACATACGATCTCTGAGTTGCCTTTAAACAGTTCAAAGTCCCAGTCTGTTCTCTGTAACAAATGTGACTACATGTGGCCAGTGAACCACAGCCCAGCCCAAACTCCCAAACAGGCTCTGGTTTCGCCTGCAGGCCAGAACAAGTCACTCGACGTGAAGACAAACGGATGCACCCACTTGCAGTAATTCAGCAGACAGTAGGCCAGCAGCTTGGGCTCCTTCCAGTTGGTGGCAGCCATGTTCTCTTTCCGGTGTCTTTCTTGAAAGGTTTCGCTGACCCACACACGTCTCAACTGACTCACCAGAGAATGCTGATTGGCCAGCCAGGAGTCATCGTTTTTAACTATGATACTTATGATCTGTCAAAGAAGCGACAGGGTTAGGGAACTGAAAGGGTTCTCTGTGCGTCTTGCCTAAACTTTTAAGATTTCAGGTGCTCAGTGACGAGACGCTACCTTGATGGCCTGAAACTGAAGGTCCAGGCGCATGGTGCTAGTGCTGGGGGAGCCGGGGCGAACGGCGGTCTGGGCGCCGCCGGGCACCAACAGAGTGATGAACCGGTTGGGGTTAGCTGCCAGCACGTCTCGCAGAGGTCTGGCATCTTTGTGTTTTAAAAAACTCTGAAAACAAAACAGAACAAGCCATTTTAAGCTAGTCAAAACCCACAAAAAGTTTAGATGTTCTGAATTCTAAGGCTCTTTCTAAATCTCCCTAGGCAGGCTAAAAAGTCGCTATAAACACCCTTTTAAAAAAAAATGCTTCTTAGCAGTAATAACACTTTGTGATTATGGATTTCAAAATCCTGGCAGCTCATTCGTCACCACCACCAAAATCCTCAAGAAGGATCTACCTCCACTCAAACTTTTCACATACACAACGGTGATGTTTCGAACACTCAGACACATGACCAAAAAAATAAAGCCGAGGCGCTGAACAGTGAAATAGGAATTTCAGATTTCAGAGCACACTGGCTGACACGAGTCTGCAGGGACACCTGACTCCAGCTCCCCGCGTGCCTACCATAAACATTCTGCTCCACTGGGGATCATTCAGTGTAGCTTCCATCATGAACAGCTCTACCGTCTGTGAGGGGTGCCGTGTCAAGAATTTGATCAGAGGCTCTCTGAAGGGACTGCCAGCCTAGAAAACATGGGGGGAAACGGCGTCTTCTCGGGGCTTGAGGCTTTGTTGGTCTAAGACCTACCATGGCAGGAGGAGGCATGTCTCCCCTCCGTAACTGGAGTGTGCTACAGCCATGAGCAAATATTAACATCAAACATCTTCAGGCTGTTAGATTAGTCCATCTAAAATCTAACGAAGTGAGAACATCACAAGCCAACAGACGGAGGAAGAATCAGGAGAAACCCCGAGTTTGACCATTACCTCAATCAACATAGCCCGTTCAGTTTTCATCACCACCTCTAACAAAGGCTTGACCAGAGTTTGAGGTGCAGCTGGGATCAGGTGAAAAAGGTTTATAATTGCCGAACAAATTTTCATTTCCTAATGAAGAAAACCAGAAATTACGAAATAGGCCAATTAATTTTGCCAGCTAGAGATACCAACATTACTACAGACCCTACTATGGTCTAGCTACATTCGCAAGGCTAGCCACCAGAAGCAAAGAATTAACATGTAAAAAGCCACAATTTACCAATGTCAGGTTACTGCTGTGGCCCAAGGAAACTAACTGCCCTTGGTGTTCAGATTTCACCTGTCAATGGAGGGGAGAGGGAGCTGTGTGCCCCCGATGTGACTGGGCTGCGTCTGTTTTCAGGAACAGGGCCAAGTGTTGGAAGTGAGCTGCGGGGTTGCCTGCACCAGCCCCTCGTGGAGGAGGGGACGAGCATGCCTGTGGCCGTGAGAGTGTTAACGATTCCCCCGCTTTGCTGTGACATCATGGGGTCTTCCCGGTACCCTAAGTTCTGAGGGCACAGACTTCTTCTGCCCTCAGAACTTAGCACAAAGAAAGTCTTCAAAACATTCTCAAATATTTATCCTGAAAATTAAACATTGTGTAAATAAATGACTGACCATGGTACTAAGTATTTGTCAACCAAGCCTGAAGATGAGGCTGGCAAACTGCTCTACTGAATCATACGGAAAATGTGAAATGCCAAGATTTCCGCACTTTTTAAGGTGCTAACAGCTCAGTGGTCAATCGCTCTTGTTCCAATGTTCTGTTCTCAGTGGCAGTTCCCATGGTTTGGAATCTGCAATTCAAAGAGATCCCACATGGCCAGAGCCATGGCCAGAGAAGGGAAGACTCCCTGATGTACCACCCTGCCTTGTGCACAACAGGAGGTCTGTCACACTCAGCACAGTAAAATGGGGATGATAAACACTCGTCAGGAGGGACCACATCCCAGTAGCATCTGCAATACTTCCCCGAATGCCTCTATGAAGAAAATGGGAAAGAAGAAAAGAGAGTTCTCTTCTACGGAATTTCCAGGTCTGCACACAGAGCAAGCTCTACTCTGAAATTACAACATGCTCATAATGGCACTTTTGCATTATGGGTTTTCGTTTTCAAAGCGCAATCAAGAAATCACTTCTTTTGGTCTTCGCAACACCACCGGAAGACAGGACCGACGGATGTTATCATCCCCATTTTACAGCAGAGGGAAAGCTCCGGGTTTGTCCAAAGTCCCAGTGTCGGGACTACATCGGTGTGGTGTGTATGTGCAAGAGATGCGGGGGACTGGGCGCGGAGGGGCAATGAGGTCTTAAACTCCAGGTAGGCAGGCACTTAGGAGTGTGGAAGAAAACAGAGCTCCTCCCAATTCCTAGCAGGTAGAATACTCTTTGTGTAGTTTCCTCCCAAGAGGTTGTGAGATGTAGGAGCTCATTCGAACATTCTGAGAGCAAAACCCAGTTGAATCTTAAACGGTATTGACACATTGCAATTCGAACATGTAGAAAACCAAAGAGCTTAGAATCTTGCTTAAAACGTCCTAACAGGAAACATGCGTGGCATCCGGACAGTTCACAGCAATGGTACTAATACGACTCTGCCACAGACAGACGATACGGCTCACTGCACTCCAAGGCACAACGCACTCTGTCCACCACAGAACCACAAGTCACAGCAAAACCAAATACAACAACACCCCCTCCTGCACCTCCACTGAGATTCTCACCTCTACCCCTTCCATGGCAGGCTGAACCAAAACAAAAATTACAGCATGAAAAAAGGCAACAAAAAGGTAAAAAAGAAAAGAAAAGAAAAGAAAATATAAACTGTTCTTCACAGTGCAAGTCATAAACTGACTTTAATAGGGTTGTTCTCACCTCAAACTGACAGAATGGAGACAAGGAACATCTCCCGCACTCGGAAATGCTTTCCTGAGGATGGGGAGGAAAATCATCTTTTTTCTATTTATGTTATTTACATAAAAACTTCCCATATACTCATACACAGTAAGGATTATTGGGGGAAACAAGACAGTAAAGACAATTATCAAAAAGCACACAATAATTAACAAATGCTCAACAGCAAAAAAAGTACACCTTCCACCCTTCAGATGTCAAAACAGAGCCCTTCAGATAGTGTAGAATAGCATACATCCCTTCCCTAAATCAAATTTAAAAAGCAGGAATTTCGGAATTCTTGCCCAGGGGGAGAAACTGTTGTAAGCAAATACATTTAAAAATCTGTTTTTGTTTCGAGTAAGTTACGATCTTTATGTGCAGCGCGGACATTAAAGAAACTTTCTTCCTCTTTCCCAGCAGAAATCTGGAGAGTACCAGGTGGTTCAGCCCCCTTAACCGGGCATGTGTGAGGCCCCCACACCCGGAAGAACCCTCAGGCCATGATGCCACCCACAGATAGCTGGGTTATTTTGGGAAGTGAAGCTGTGTATGCACACAGACACGGCACAGCAAGGGGTCAGGCATTCTCCCCTGGGAGCGTAACGCTAAAACGGCAAACCTTCCTAAACGTGGTGCTCGTGCAAAGCTCTGATCATCAGGGTACCCAGCATCACAGAAAAGCTTGTATTTGTTTTCTTATAAACAGTCGACTATTTAACATGTCTGCAGTTGCAGGTTCTTAATCATGTAATATCATTTGGGGATTCAACCAAATGGGGACAAACTATGATCTAAGATCCATTCCCAATACTGAACAACATCCATAAAAAACGATCAGAGCTCAAGAGCAGAACAGCAGCTTGACCCTGGGCTGAGGTGATGAAACTGCGGGCATGCTGCCCAAACACCACAGCCTGAGGCCACCCCCACAGAGCTGGGTGTTCCCAGGCCGGTCAGGAAGTGGACTCCTATGATGGTCATGACACGTTTCTGCAGGAGCTGGAGGACTTCCTGGTGCCCACAGCTCCGTCTCCTGCCCACTGCCCCTGCCCCATCCAAGGAGCACTCCGAATAACCTGCTGTAAACGTTGATGGAATCTTTCTGATCTAATGGAAATCATTCACTTGCCCCCTAGAGACTGTTAAATATTTATTCTAGAACTAACCGTGTGTTTCAGAGAATTAACAGATTATAAAACAAATATAAAATTCAGAGCAAAAATACCTAGCGGATGAGAGATGGGGAGGAAAAGCACAGAGGCATCTGTACCTACTCCCAAGAGTTTAAGCTTTGAACATACACTCTGCTCTCCCCCATGAAGAGTTCCTGGTTTTTCCCTGTGTGTATGAATAACAAACCTTCAAAGAGGTCATGGTGGTATAACATTCCTAAAAAAAGTGTAAAATCCTGGTTTAGTTTTGCTTAGTTGGCTGTTTTTAGAAGCAGCAGGAATTGAGACTTACATAAACAAAACACCTTGACACAGAATGGCCAAAACAAAGCATAATAAAGCCAAAAAAAAAAAAAATCCAAGTTGGGATGAAACACAGCATCCAACAAATACGCACAGGAAGACAAAAAGCCATGTTGATTATGCCCCTGAAGAGCTAGAGCATCCCCTCGTTAGGACACTGCTGTACAATTTCACCAGGTGTAACAGGACCTTAGGGAAAACACGATCCTACCGATAGGACAGTCATCAACTTAAAAAGTATTTTAAACAAATATTAACATATACAAATTAGATTCAAAACAGCAAAAACCATTATTTTTAAGAGTGAAGTCTTAAAATGACCAACATCAGACACGTAAAAAAATTTAAAGTAGTTTTCCCTTAAAGCCGTAAAAATGTGTTTTGAAGTCCTGGCCGTTTGATTTTTGGCAAACAGTTGGGGTGGGGGAATCGGACCCGTCAACATACATGCCAGTATTTATGTGATGCTTTGCTACATTATCCTCAGTGTCTGAAGTCCTGAAACCTACACTCAGTTTCATGAGGCAGTGATGATGGGAAGCCATGGGAAACCACAGCTGAGGAATGCACCACCATGCAAACAGCAGCTGCCAAGAACATTCTAGAAAACATACTTTATACACTTTACAGCAAAACCAGTAAAATTAAAATACTAACATTTCAAGCTTTCCAGAATTCTCGTCAACAAAAACGTATTAAGGTGAACAAAGGAGATTTCAAAGAAACACAAAAAAGAATGTTCAATAATTAAGAAAAATAAATGCAAAAGTAATGCTAGTAAAAGATGTTCAACAATTTACACAACTAGAATCACATAAACTGGGTTTCTGACCGGTATTTTAGTTAAAAGCACTGCTCCGATATTAACATTGCAAACAGCAGTGCCGGGCGCGGCTGCCCTTCCCAGAAACAAACAAGTCACTCACGTTTCCGTCGCTCCTCTGGCCCCCTTTGTGGGTGAGGACCACCACTTCCATCCACTTTCGTAGATGTTGCTGTTGAAAAAAACAACATCCTTAGACATCTTCCCCTCACACATGATCAGTTCAATTCCATGCTGTTCTTAAATGAAAATTCATAGGTAATCATTATTTCCCATCATAGTCGATATGAGGATGGCAGTGTTCAAATTTGAAACAGCCCAACCACTGAACTAGAGGGAATGACGGGCATTTGCCTCATGTTGCATGAGCAGAAGGCTGAATTGACCCTGATGTCACAGAAAACGTCCTGAAACCTGGCCATTCCGATGCTGGCATTTTACTGCTGTGCTCCTATGGCCACCTTACTTTGCGCTGCACCTGTTCATGGAGAGCCTCGAGGAGCCAGGCACCAGGCCAGGCCCCCGGGGGGAAAGGGGAGCAGGCGGACATCATCCCTAGCCTCGTTCCAGCTCAGTTTCCAGTGGGGAGAACCAGGTGAAATACACAGTCACGGTAAGGGTTGTGAAAGAGGAACGGGAATCAGCTGGAGAAGGGGGTCAAGGTCAGGGACAGCCCTGCTGAGGCAGACTCTCCAGAAGCTCAAGCACACCAGGCAGAGAAAAGGAGACGCAAAGGCCCTGAAGCCACCAACAGGAAAGCTGGCCGCTGTATATGGCTAAGGAGTAGTGGGCACAAGGGGGGCGTGCGGGATGGGCCGGTGAGATGAGCACGGATCCCATTTGGTCAGAGGCTGCACAAATGAGTGCGAACAGGAAGCAATTCCCTTCTGTGCAGAACCAGGGCAATTGTTATGTGATAAGACTCTGCGTTCTATGGCAAGAGCACGAGAAGAGAGATCCCTGAGGCCAGAGCGACTCTGGTATGACCGGGGCACGCGGCAGCCAGGCTCCTAGCCTTGGTGTCCGGCAAAACCTGGCAGATAAGCACTCAGAGCCTACAGGTAAAACCACAAGACTATCCAAACAACAGAACTACCTTCACTTCCCCCACTGTCCAAACTTGTTCTTCACATACTGAAGCCCTACAGGAAGTTAACTAGTTGTTTTAAAAAGAACTCCATGGTCAAAGAGGCTTGGGGACAGATGACTTAAATCCATCTAAACACTTACTGGGCCAGTGTTCCAAAGAACACACATTGAAAAACACTAAAATATACATGCTTTCAAAGAAACTAAGTACATTAAGCTATTTGCCAGTAAAATTCCTGGAAAGATATTAACAATCACCAAGATCTAGGTTCATGAAACTCTTATCTTACTACAACAGCTACTCTACCAAAGATAAGAGAGGAACAAAACTAAAGGCGAAAGAAGCAGCCAGCTGCATTCCCTATTCACTCTGCTTTCAGATGCCCCAACGGAAAAAAATAACACTAAATTGTATATAAATTCACTTCTAGCTCAATAAGGAGCTATCCACGGCAAATAACCACGAGAGACTTGAAAGTCAAATGTCCAGCAGTTCACATTTTTAAAAAGGCAAATTATCAGGGTTGTTTTCATGAATGCCCATCCTACACAGCAGGGTGTCTTAGCTCTTAAAATTATGCTGAAGGCTTGAGCTGTTAACCTCAAAACATATCATATGCGGGAAAACAAAGGCTCGGTGATCGAGCACGGCTCTAAAGAACAGGACTCAAAAGGGCCAATGTGTGCCTGACTGCCGCCCCACCCTTGCCCAAGTGCGGCGGGCACGAGACACATCAGAAGACCCCCATCGGCATAGACCCTGGGCTGGACCCGGGCAAGGTGGGGACCAGAGGAAAATGGCTGGACAAACGGCAACTCAGTCCTTCTTTATCCAAGTATGTCAACACTCTCTGCTTTCAGAGAAATTTTAACCCTTCTGAAAACAGCTCTCATGCCAGAAAAGGGGGAAAAAGTCCCCTCAACAAACTGGACACACAAACCCCCGGACTTCACTGTAGGGAGAAAAGACTCCTGGCCTACGTCAGAAACGACGACTCTAAGGTAGTAGAGCAGTCTCTTCAGACGACTCTAAAAATTCTGGGCAACAACATGCGCTGAATGAATTCCCAGCTCACAGCAAATGTGAAGGGTCAGCCTGGCGGTGAGCCAACCAACTAGCCGGCAACACGTCGCCTCCGGCAGGCAGGAGAAGGCAGCAAGAAATGGCAGTGGAGAGGGAAGAGATGCAAATGACAAGGCCGGGCCATGTGGAACACAGCGTGGGTCTCACACTGCAAGCACCGAGAGCTGCGGCATGATGGCAGATGAAGCACGGATCTGATGTGCTCGCGTCAGGAAGTGACCGTGACCACACCTGTGAAGGTGTGCGTGCGCGGACACTAAAAGGGCGTGTGTGTTACACACATGTGGAAGCTAAAGAGCAAGGAGACTTTCGATTCGGAAAACTTACTTCCACGGAATACCGTTTCCCAGTAACACTCTAATAGGGCATCAGCTACAATTTTTAGGGCCAACCTTAAGACTGCCAACTCCCAGTTAGGTGTTTTGGTCACTGTTCCCTTCTTAGGTGTCTGCAGATACGAAGAAACCGTATGTGAGGTAAAGAGCTGTGTGGTCCTCACACAGCCATAGATTTGCACTCCACACACACTACGCGTACTGCAGTTACCGAAACAAATACCTTCAGGACCCTGAGATGTGTAAACGGCCAGAGGCCACTTGAGAAACATAAGCATGAAAAGTACGTGCACGTTTGCAGTCACTTACCCTGAAATCCTAAGTTATTTATAAACATCTACTTACCAGAAGCAAAACTGAACGACTGCATAAGAAAGTTAACAGCTGAATCTCCTGCATCTGTTTATACTTCAAATTTAAACAGTGTCAAACAGGTATTTTATTTGCATAATTACTTCCTTGGTAATTTTAAAAACCGTAAAGACTTCTAAAGTTCTTACACGTTTTTCACTACATCACTGTCTATAATAGCAAAAGATTGGGAGTAATCTAGATGCTAGTCAGTGGGGGAATGGTGAAATGAATTTTGGCATGTCCACGTACTGAAATATTATATAGCCACGAGACAGAAGGAAGAAGCACTTCATGTTCTGATCTGAAATGATGAGTAGTCAATAGAAAAGGAACTGTGTGTATATGGTGCTTCCTTCTGAGGAAAAGAATATACGTATGTCCTACTACAAATGTAAAACATCTCTAGATAGACATACAGGAAACCATTAACACTGGATGTTCCCCAGGAAGGGGAGGTGGGCTGCTGGAGTTCAGGGACGGGAGACTTTCACGTACGCTTTTCACACTTCCTGAATTTTAAACCACATATATATATATATATATACACACACATATATATTACTTACCTAAAAAAAAAATAAGCTAAAATTTCAGGTTGATTACAAACTATGTTTAAATGCACTTGACTTACCATCATCTGATCACAAAATTTATCATTGAAGGAGTTTGGGAAGAGCCTGGTAACGGAAGTGAGACGATTCACGACATTCAGCGTCAAGCTTCGATAATCCCCCAGCATCATCAACAAAGGCCGCATATGCGTATGGATTTGATCTACTTCTATGGTAGCACCTTCCAAAAACTATTTAAAAAGAAAAGTTACAAAGGAAAATAGACAAGAGAACATACTTTATAATAAACTCATTCAGCTCTAGCAGCAAGTTTGTGGGATGTTAACCACGTACATTCCAAAAGTTTATGATGAAATGAAGCCTAGTCATTACTGTTGAATATTTAAAAAAGGCTCAGCGTGACTAGGAAACAAGCGGAGACAGTATTGGAATCCAGTGTGTGTTCACGCGAGGCCGCCTTCTAGGCGTACAAACCAGGTAAACAGGAAGAACCCCGGAGACAGAACACACGCGCGTTCGCACGCACACGCCACTCACTCACCTTTCTCATGCAGGCTTCTCCGGCCTCCTGCAGCTCGCTGTTTGTGGAATTCAGGGCTTTGAAGAGTGCGGCGATGATCTTCTCCCTGGACTGAGGAAGGTAATTGCAGGCAGCAAGTGCATCTTTAGGGAGAGAGATCAATACAATTTCATTATTAACCTGAAAAACATATGAACAATTTCCTCGTCTAAAGGCTCTTACCAACCAACACCAAGTATCAATCACTGACCCACTTCCCAAGTGTCTGGCCTTGAGAAAGACCAAAGAACACATGGTGTCCTAATGCATGTGTTCAGTGTTATCTAAGAGGGAAGTCAACAGCCTGTCAGAAAGGCCATGATAGATATTACCCCATCCAGATAAAAGAAGGGCTGGAGGGTTAAAGAGGGGGCACCCAGTGACACCCCTTCCTTAAGACATCCCCACACAGGGCGAGAGGATGGCTGAGCTGCGGGCAGATGCGCACTGAAGTGACACAGAGGGCTGGCTTTGAACTCTGGTGCTGAGGGAACACACACACACGCAGCCTGGCTTCTCCTCCACTATCCGTGTCTCATCAGGCAGCCTCCTCCCAACGTGGGGGGTTAAAGGCTTAATCCTCTCTGTTAGCTCAGAGATAATACCTGCCCAAGAGCAATGCCCGTATTAGCCAATAGGACTACATGAGAGGTGCCGGAAGAAAGGAATCCCCACTGAAGAAAGAAGCTGCCAAACTTGGCTGCGGAGAGCAAGCCTCCCTCCCTCCCTCCCTCCCACCTGCTGTGGCTTCCACACCCCAGCCCCGCGCTCGAGCAGGTATTACGATCTGCCTCTCAGCTCCTCCACCTCTAATTCAAGGAGGATTCTGGCAACATTTCACGTAGAGTATAAAAACCAACAAAGCAAGAGACCAAGCCAACTAAAAAAACTTGTACTGGGTATTTATCCACCAAAAAAAGAAAAAGTAGGGGGGGGGGGGACTGATGCTTCTAAGCAAGTAAAATTCAAGTGAGTAAAAATTCAACAATGTAGCTGACATTGCTCATGAAAGCCTAAAGGACAGCAGGATTCTCAAATGCTACCGAACCACTGAAAACCCTATGAAGGTTGTAGTAGATCTTCCCATATACTCCCGATTTGGGCGAAACTGGCAACAAATGAACGCTAGGACTACTTTCTTCAACTAGAGTGTTAGATTCATCAGTGAGCTACAGCATTTAGAGTTAATTACTATAAAGTAAAATACATAGTTTGTAAGAGTAAACAATTGTTTAAATCCTAACCATCTATATAATCCACTGACATCTCATTATATCATTTGACAAATACACAAACATAATTATCCCACCTTAAAAGAACATAAAAAAATAAAACCCCCCAGGGCGCCTGGGTGGCTCAGTCGTTAAGCGTCTGCCTTCGGCTCAGGTCATGGTCCCAGGGTCCTGGGATCAAGTCCCGCATCGGGCTCCCTGCTCAGCAGGAAGCCTGCTTCTCCCTCTCCCACTCCTTCTGCTAGTGTTCCCCCTCTCGCTATCTCTATCAAATAAAAATCTTTAAAAAAAATAAAAAAATAAAAATAATAAAACCCCCCAAAAGGCCACTGCCTCCTTGCACCTTCGTACCCGTGACTCGTTTCAGACTTAATTCATATGAACTTACTTAATGCTGCAATTCGCAAAGGTACAAGTGACGGAAGACTCTTGTAACAGGGCAGCTTTGTTAAAGCAGAGTCTTCAGCCTCACACAAATTTAATAGCTGTAAAAGATAAAATTATTTAATTTAGCCAGCTCCTACTGTGAAGACACAGTAACCTTGAAAATAACAGAACACAGCAATCTTACCCACACACAACACAATTAACAACTGACAAACTAAACTCAAACCCTAGGGAATTTAGTACCGAATGTGACACAGCTTCCTTCTAAAGCAAACTCCGTCAACCTCATGAGTGAAATAAATTCTTAGATACTTTCTCACCCACTCTGACACCATTAACACTGTTTCTCGACCCAGGGGATCACTTGAACTGCAAATATGATGGCAGCTACGTCTCCCTCCTTATTCAGAGCTGCTTCCCAGTGCCATGGGCCAGTGTTCAACAAACACGTGCTGTAATTCAATCCTGGAGACGTAATACTTTCCCCAAGGACAGAAAAGTATAAAGAAAGGAGTTGAAAGTCACCGAGAATATCGTAACTCACAGATTCCTGTGGCTATCTTTCTGGACATTTTATCACACCCCAGTATATACTAATACATCTAATACACAAAATTTCATATATGTTGTTCTATTACTGTTTTCCCCTTCTATTTACATCCTGGGAAAATGGTATAAACTTTACCGTTACCTTTTTTCCCTTAAAGATTCCTACTTAGTAAAAGATTTCAAAAAAAGGACATATACTAAAAAGCACTTCAGGCCACCACCCTACTCCACTCCATCACTACTACTCTCCTCCTATATAAACCGGGTGTGCGTGCCCACAAGTGTAGACAGACATCTGTGTCTGTAGCTCCCTCTAGACAGAGTGAGAGCATACACCAGAGTCACCTGGGACACTTGTAGATGGTCCGTCGGTCGGTCTGACCCTAAACCTCCAGGGAGAGGACTCAGGAGTCTCTACTTTTAAAAGGACCCTCACGTGTTCTGATGCAGCTAATGCACTGATAAACACTTGGGAAACCAGCTGCACTCCCTTAGATTTATCACTTAACACTACCAGGTTCTGGTCTTAAGCATAGTGAGGAATTTTCCACATAGGTTAAAACACATCTGCCTCTGGAACCACCAAAGGCAGACTTCCTCCCATTCTCCAGTGGCTCTCCTAGAACCTCTCTCAGGTCATATGAACTATGACTCTTACACAAGGGCTACAACAAGGTATAAAAGAGCAAAGCTAGACCACGTGATCATAGGATTCTATGTCCAGGCAAATACACAGGACTTAAAAACTCAAGAGGCAAATTTTTCATAATTGGAAATTCAAACTTAGTGTGGATCAGAAGAACTTGCCTCCTTATGACTTTTACTTCAGCTTATTCTGATAATGCCTCCAGCGTAGGACTTAGGTCTTAAAAAAATTTCACACTGGGACTGATCAAGAGACCATTACTGTATTCTACGAATTAATGCTTAGTGGAATTTGACTGTATCTACAGTTCAATCTATTTCTCTCTAATGTCACCCCATACTAGAATGTTTACAGAGAGAAACACCTATAGGATACCATCTGCCATTGCCCCAAACGAGAATAATCGGTATCTATAGTTCCCGAAGAGCTGTCAGAGCTAAATAATGGCATTCATGTGAAGTCAGTTCTCAACAGCACACGACACATTCTTAAGTGACAAATACGTTCAATACACTGGCACGTTCCCTGAGCCAGTCTTATTCTGGGCACCAGCTGATGACAGTGATCAAAGCGGAGAGTCCATCTTTCTCCAGATTACATCCTTAGGGCTCTGCAGAGCAAGGTGCCCTGGAGAAGGCTACCAGAGCTCTAAGCACTCCAAACACAGCCATGTCTGGTGGAACCTCTCCAGTCAGCAGGCCTACCTCCTATCACATACCTGCGCAGGGCGCTGTGCCAAGTTAGGGCTGGTTACCTGGGGTCATCACCCGTGCCTTCTCTGAGTGCTGCCTGACCAGTCTTCGTGCACAGAGACAGGTTACCAGACACACGTCATCACCATCCACACCACGCCGCACCACCACCCCCCTACCTCTGTGTAGAACACCTTATGCTCCACCACGTTAAGATCCATTGTGAAGAGCCTGGGCTGCAATGTGGTGCAGAACGTGTTTCCCTCCATCAGGCCAATCTGCGCATTGGCAGGCTGATGTCTGAGCAAATGCTTCTTCGGCGGGACCATATCCTGGAGGACCTGGGGGAGGCAAGGAGGAAGCACTACCAACCAGCCATCCCTTAAAGAGCAAACACTGCTCACCACAATATCTTAAAACAACTATCAGGCTGGAAACCGTGAGATGAAAAGTTATGATGTCCCTTTAGTGCGGCAAGGGAGGGCACATTCCATGTGCTAAAACTGGCTGGTGGATAGCAACGTGTCAGATACACTGAACTAAGTCTCCCGAGTAACCGCTCTCAAACGACATAAGAAAAGAGCGACCAGGGCGCCTGGGTGGCTCAGTTGGTTAAGCGACTGCCTTCGGCTCAGGTCATGCTCGGCAGGGAATCTACGACATAAGAAAAGAGCGACCAGGGCGCCTGGGTGGCTCAGTTGGTTAAGCGACTGCCTTCGGCTCAGGTCATGCTCGGCAGGGAATCTACTTCTCCCTCTCCCGTTCCCCCCTCTTGTGCTCTTTCTCTCTCTCACTCTCTCTCTCAAATAAATAAATAAAATCTTTGAGGGAAAAAAAAAAAAGAAAAAAGAAAAGAGCGACCAGACTGGGGCTACAGAGACCCAGGCAGCCAGCCTTCTGTTCTTTTGATGCTGACGACTATGGATGTAGCCGCTGATACCAGGACATTGCTTTCTGCGTATCTGAGGTCAAAGGGAGCACGTACGGTAGCGCCTTGTAAAGTGGACACGAAATTACAAATTACATGTCCTCTCCAAGTCAGATTTGAAGAAAAAAGGTCTCAAAAGTATTGCTCAAATATCCTAGTTCCAGGGACAGAAATCTCACCTCTTTATGGGGTTCCATGATCACAGTGACACTCTTTCCAGTGACCTGGGCCAAGACCTGCAGTGAATGCATGGCCTGTTTTCTCACAGTGGAATTTGGAGAGGTGACTTCTCGAACCAAGTCATGCGTCACATGATGAAAGGACTTCTCCTGAGCTGCCACGATCTCTTCGGCTCTCTCCTCATCCTTTAAAGGTGTCGCGCATCTCATCAGAAGCTGTTCTAGGGTGGTCTTTGCCATGGCGACGGCCCCATTGGAAACCTGCAGGTGAGGGACTCCTTAGAATGAAAGGGTCATTCACTGTGGGTCCACCCCCCCACCCCGCCCCAGGTGAGCTAATTTAACAAGGCTACTTCCTAACCTTCATACAGTACTTCAGTGGCTAAATCACCTTAGCATTCCTGTATGTCACTCAGAAAAGAAAATGGGGATCCAGACAAACTCCTTGTATTTCCCAAATGAATAAGCCGGCAAGGCCTACCACATTCGATTTGAGTTATACTTGCGCACAGCTTCATGAAGAATGCAACTTCCTGAGAAACTCCTGCAGCACGTGCACTATTTAGCCCCACGGCAAGAGTGAGTAGGATTACTTCCCTCTACAGATGTACCGTGTTAAGTGCTCTGGTCTGTGACAGTTCTTTATCAACGCAGACAGATACTCAGATAACCAGGGAAGCCTATGGGGTCCTGTTCTGTCCTCGTATTAAAGATGCTGTAATGAAATCTAGGCTTCTAGGAGAGCGTGTGGGCAGAACTGCCTCATACTAACTATTCTGTAGGCAAATCAGCTTTAGGAACCGCTTGGTTCGGTTTGGGGTCACCCATCACCTACCTCTCCAGTCAAGTCCATCATGACAAAGAGAAGCGCTTTGAGGAACGTCTGCTGGTTCTGGAGAACCCAAGTGAGAGGCAGCCGCTCCATGAGGAACTTAATGGACACCACACCCCCCAGCTTTGCATACCAGGCCTGCTCATAGCAACAGGCGCACAAGCGCTCGACGATGTAGGAGAACAGAGGCAACTGGCACGCCTGGGGAGAAAACACAGACACACCGTCCTGTTATCCCCACTCCGGGTAACCAGTTTCTAGAATGACTACCCACAGGCACCAATATGCCCCAAATAGCAGATACTCCTCAGCCCTTCCTTACCCTCTCCTTTGAGCCCAGGATGATACTTGCAACATCAAATATGACAGCCAGGGCCACCTCCCCAATCTTGCAAAGTTCCTTCTCTTCATATGCCATACAAATAGCGATTGCATCAATAAGGACCAACGGATCCATTCCTTTCGACCCATTTTCTTCGCTGTGAAACATGGCTGTGCTGGGCTGGCTGCCCACCTGGTAGCAAGGTAGCAGGAAAGGACCTGGAAGAGAGGCGGCAGCCATGGGAGAAAGTAGACCTTATTTACATGCACGTTCTTGTCCCTCAAATGGCAAAACCACCTCATTATAAAGTTTATTTTTTTAGTAATCTCCATACCCAACGTGGGGCTCGAACTCACAACCAAGATCAAGAGTTGCATGCTCCACCGACTGAGGCAGCCAGGCGCCCCAAAACTACCTCTTTTACTTTGAGGTTCGGAGCTCAGTAAAAGCCAGTACTGGTACTTTCGACCAACTTCCGTTAAACTGCAATTACTTGTGAACTAAGTGGTCTGACTCGTACTAAGGCTCTTTTCCTGAATGTCCGCCATTATAAACTGTGTTCTTTTTAGATTTTCTCTATGATAAGGAGAACCACGTATCTTCTTTTAAAAAAATCATTAAGGGTCAAGGGGTACGGCAGAGAAATGAGTATGGGCTACACTCTAGATATTCCTGACACAAAGAATAATTAAAAAGCAACCCGGCTATGACACCCAACCCACACAGAGAACAATCTGCTATGAATTAATGCCTCCCAGGTGCCGGACAAGATGGGTGTTCGCTATCAAGAAGCTTACAGATCTGCTGGAAAGACGTTAACAGAGGAACACTGAGAAACGATCTCAGATCAACGGGATAGCAAAGACTATTCGGACCAAGGGCAAGAAGAGTTACAAGGGGGAAAGTTCTCAGTGTTCTGCAGCATTCAGAGAAAGCTGCTTTGTCCATCTGGAGGGTGAGGGGCCTCAGGGACACAGAGTGCCGCAGCGCTGTTCCAGTGTGTCCACCGACCAGCGCTGGTCTGTCTTCAGACCAGTGTTCAGAAACTTCTATAGCAATTGGCAGTGTCGGGACACTTTGTCTTTTGCAAGAGCACCAGTTAGCAGTGGATTAGAAAGAGAAACAAGCAGACAAACAAGAGTGGTCCCCCCGCCAATCCGGAGCCTGAGGATCCCGCAGCAGAGGTGGGGAGCAGCAGGGAGGAGCACCGCAGAGAGGAGCCGGCCGAAGGGCAGGGAGGGGAGGCTGGGCCTTGGCAAACAACACATGGGGGGAAGACCAGCCACGAGGGAGACCACAAACTGTCTCACACGCAGACTGTCCGAAAGTATTCCGCCCCCATTTTCATGAAAAGCAAAGGGTGGAAATCTTCCATCGGGTGCACTGTACAGAGAAACTTGGTAACGATTTTCAAGTCACTATTGCACCCGTCACCGAAATACCAATTACCCTGCAGTAAGCAGGAAATCAGAAAACAAAGGCCAAGAATGAACCAGCCAGGGGCGCCTGGGTGGCTCAGTTGGTTGGGCGACTGCCTTCGGCTCAGGTCATGATCCTGGAGTCCCGGGATCGAGTCCCGCATCGGGCTCCCTGCTCGGCAGGGAGTCTGCTTCTCCCTCTGACCCTCCTCCCTCTCATGCTCTCTGTCTCTCATTCTCTCTGTCTCAAATAAATAAATAAAATCTTTAAAAAAAAAAAAAAGAATGAACCAGCCAGACGGCTCCTCCGAAGCACCACGTCCCGAAGGCACCTCTGCAGCAGCCCAAGCAAGTCCCACAACCACCTCCTCCGCCCACTCACCGCACTGCTGGGCGACTGCCACCATCGTGTAGTGGCGGATCAAGCTGGCGACGAAGGGCAGGGCGCTGGGCCGGAGATCTTTAATGACAGCAGACATGAACGCCCCGGTCAAGGCCTGCTCAAACGTCTTCCGAGCTGGAGTGTCTTGTGCTTTGTAGCGATGCGATATGATGACATTAGGTATGGTCTTTTCTGTAAAGCTGGAAGATAAAATCGAGTCCATCCTAACAACACTGAAATCCTGAGCTGATGAGTCCACCAGGACTTAAACGATGAAATTTCATTATGAACGTTTATAAGCGATGGTTCTAGAGACCCCCAGTATGTTCTACATAACACGGAGCACAGGCGATGAATCAGAGCCATGTTACAACGTGGCAGCAGATTCAGTATTTTTATAGTTTTTAAATAAAGTTGATGTCTGACTTTGATTTTTTTTTTTAACTAAGTAAGCCAAATTCTAAGAAGTAACCCCATCGATGAGCAAACAGAAATGAAAAAAGGCTTCAAGACTGCTATATGCCCGTTATGTGTTGAAAAACCACCCCACAGGAACAGAATCAGACGAGGTTACAGACCTCACTGACAGCACGTGTACCACCCGTCACTGATGCCGTGAGCAATGTGAAAACACACAGGGAAGGTCCCTCCCCCGAAACGTGGGACACGGCAAGATAACATACACACATGATCACACAAGACCATCATCTAAGGTCACAGCCCTAACTGGTAAGAGTAAAATACAAATATCACGGGACAAATATTTGGGGAATGAACGGATCACTGTGGACCAGAAAAGCAAAAGATCCACTGAACATCTGCCATATGCCAAGCACTATGGATACACGAGTGAGCAACGGGAGAGAAAAGGGCAGGACCGTTGCCTCCTGAAGCTGACAACCTCAGGGAGAGGCAACCATCAGGAACACGACGACTGAGGTAAACTCTAATTCTCAAGCTCCTCCTGGTTTCTCCTCTTCATTTTCTCTAAAAGACCAGAAAAGCACCACTAGGCAGGTAAACTCGCAGGAGCATACTTAGCGCTAGGAAACCTGGGAGGTCCTCTGCACCCCTACGTCCTGACGTCTAAGATGCACCGATCACAGGGAACCACATTCCAAACATACTTAGGGTGTGCGAGAAGCTGGTAGAGGGCGTGTTTATTGTCCTCCAGACTCATCATTGCCACCAGGAAGCACTTGATCACCTCCCACGCCTGCCTCCGGTAGTAGGGCTCAGTGTTGGCACTTTTCAGGCAGTCCAGAGCGGTTTCAATGGCCTAAAACAACGACAAAGAAATACAAAAACTATGTTTATGCAGAAATTACATGATTACTCAAGTCTTTATTTATTTTTAAAGATTTTACTTGCCAGAGAGAACGAGCACGCAAGGGCACAAGCACGGGGAGTGGCAGGCCAAGGGGGAAGCAGGCTCCCTGCTGAGCAAGGAGCCCAATCCCAGGACCCCGGGGTCATGACCTGAGCCACAGGCAGACGCTTCACCGACTGAGCCACCCGGGTGTCCCACTCAATTCTCTCTTTAGAAGATAAAAGGGTTTTCTTTATTATTTTCTTTCCCCCCAGAAAACCTACATAGCTACACACACATTTTATCCTACTCAGGTTGAGAAGGAAGGCGGGGGAAGGCACAATCACACACAAAATCATGTGAAGCCTTTAACAGCTAAGAGGCTAGTCACCCTTAAGGACAATTACACACCTATCACTCAAAAAACTGATCTGTGTTCAGGAGGCAACATTTCCCCAGGCTGTGTGCGAGGAAGCAGAGAGGGGCTGCCAGGGACAGCAGCTGCCCTGCAGGCTCACGTGTGGCCACACTGAGCAGGGGCACAGCTCCTCTCTGAGTCACCCCTGGCTTACGGGGCTAATTTCGGAACTGGTTAAGGATCAATGTAACCTTTAAGCCAATTCCCTGCCAAAAGAATAAAGGATCGCCAAGTGTGCCCAAAGGGGATTATCTGAATGGGGATTCCCTGGCACTCAGCTTGGCCAGGCTGCTTCTTCCCTTGGCCTCGGCAGCCCCTCCGCCCTCAGCTGTCAGCTGCTGGGAAACCGGCCCCTCGTGCACCTCAAGTCCGTGTGGGGCTGCAGGAGGACTTGGAAGCCTCTCTTCAAAACTCGGTTTCTTCTCGGGGGAAAAACTACTCCTAAAGAGATTTCCTGGCTCTGCTTAGTCTATGCAGAGGTCAAATACAGGTCAGGTACCTTAGTTTTCACCACTAATGCCCACCAGCCCTGACAAGGCCGAAGCAAACAGAATCCTATGCGAAGGAAGTTACCTAAAATGTGGGAACGTGCTACTGACAAAGGATGTTCACTAGAGCAACTTTCAATGTAAAGACGGACTTTTAGCTGTAGTCTCTTAGGAGGAAACTAGTGTTTAACTGGCAGATATTTTTTAAAAGGCTTGGGTGAGAAGCCGGGGTTACACCTCCCCCTGAGGTCTGGAGAGGACCCCCATCCATGGTATGGGGCTGGGGGAGGGTCAGGGACAACGCATGTGCGTGAGGAAGTGTGGGGACAGGATGACTGAGAGATGAGGATGCAAAATAACTAGAGGGACATTTACCCATGACGGATATCATTCCTCCCAGATGTTAAGAAAGTCGTTAAAAAAACCAACCAACCACCACAGAACCCACTAGTGGGTAAACTCCGTACACAGACAGGTGAGCAGGCAGGGCTCCATGGTATGACACACCAGGACAGTTAGCCTGAGCACAGGGAGAGCTCTGAGTCGCTCCAGGCCGCAGAATGCTGGTTTAAGACCAGATCTTCAAGGAGTTCGGGAATCCCAGCTGGCATCTGGCTTATGAAACAGCTGAGTCACACAGATGCACGCAAAAGGCTACTCTCACACCCTTTAAAAAAAAATACCCAGTCTATAATGGCTAGATAATGGTAACAAAAGCTGTTAAGACAAGGTGGAAAAAGGCTGGCTCTGTGATAAGGGGGAGAGTCAACCTTGACAATATAGATGAGAACCAGGTGGAACAATATGCATGTGACAAAGGACTGGGAGGGCTCAGTCAGGTGAGTGGGAAACAGCTTTCAATAAAGGTAAAGCAAAAGTAGTAGAGTGAGACACTCTGGTAAGATGTTGGGGACACAGTCTGTCCATTTTTTACCCAATGAAACAGGAGTTCTAAATGGCAGATGGAGAGAGAACAAAGAGCTGTCTGCAGCGGGCTAATAAGGAGCCAGGAGAGACAGCTGATGCTCAGGAGTGATAAGTATTGGATTAACCTGGGTTCTAAACGACACTTGAAGTAGAGCCTGCCAGGCATCAAAACAGACTAAGTTCAAGGGGAGGATGTGCTGGGTATCATCACCTGCTGCTCTGTCAGGAAAGATGAAACTGCTCAAGCGTCCAAAGTTCTCACGCAGCACACCTCCACCGACCTTCTGGTGTGATGAAAGGCCCCTTGCCAACCAAGCTGGTCCCCAAATACATTCTGTACTTTGAGTCAGAAATTCCCTCCTAAGGGGCACCTGGCTGGCTCAGTCAATAGAACATGCGACTCTTGATCTCAGGGTTGTGAGCTCGAGCCCCACACTGGGTACTGAGATTACGTAAAAATAAAATCTTTAAGAAAAAAAAAATTCCCTCTCAAGAAAGCACATGTTTTATTTATGTATTTTCAAATAGAAATCAGCGTTCTTAAAATGAAATGTGCAGGATCTTTAAGAAGCTCCTGAAAATTTCCAAATTTACCTTCTCCATCGGGAGCTGAAGAGATGCTTTACAATCGGAAAACTCCACTGTGATACTTGGGCCTTGAACCTCAGTCACAACATAGTGCAGCTTCTGGGATTCCTTCAACATCTTCCTGTTACTGCCACCAAATTTACCAAGGACACGGTAGGCCACGTGAGAAATGCTATCAGCCGGATTGCGCAGGGTGCGCCATAAAGCCTACAACCCAACACACTTTCATTAAAATCCTTTCAAGGTGATGCATTCTCGTGGTTCATAGATCAAAATTCGCAAGTTATAAAAGACTATTTAGCAAAAATTCTTCCTCCCATCTCTGTCCCCCAAACATGCACTTCCCCTTCTTGGGAGAAAACCACTGTTACTAGTCTTGTGTGTCCTTCCAGAAATATTTTGTCTTTAAAGAAAATGCACACATAAACATAAATATCCTTCAATGCCCCTGAAATACAAACGGTAGCATATGATAAGTATCGCAGAGCTCAAAAGCAAGAAAACTAAGCAACATATGGTTTAAGCATATATACAAAATAGGATCAGAAGCATGGAGAGAAATGCTAATTACTGATAAAGTTCTTGTCCTGGGGTTTGATGGTGAGTTCTCAGGTTTTTACTATTATTAGGCTTTATAATGTATAAACATGACAAATTCCTACAAATAAGACAGATAAACTATCTTACACATTTCAAACCTCACATTAGAAAGGATGGTGAAGAGGGGAAACACGGATCATGACAGGACCTGCCTTACAGGAATACATGACAAGGATATGTACCTCGTACTTACAATTAGTGTAAGGACCACACGCACTCACCTGTTTCAAAAAACTCTTGCCAATTTTCCCACATTCCCTTACCTGGACTATCTTAAGTCCTAAAAATTACTATGTCTGTCTATTTAAGTCAATTTTCTTAAATCACTTTCCATAACTGTCAGATAGACAACATAAAATCTTGAACTTTTCTTTAAAGCAAAATTTCAATTTCTCTTACGTCCCTAAAGGTCCAAAAAGACTTGTCCTTAATGAACACCTGTTGAGAGGTGCTAAGCCTCCCTACCTCCACCCCTGGACCCAGCCCAACCACTCCTCATGTATCCTCAGGAAAGGGAAATTCTGCTTCACTCCCCAGGAGGGGGTGGCATTGGGAATGAGTGTTGGTTGATGGGATCACAAAGAGATGCTCCTTGTCTAGTGTGGGGGCGGGGGTGGGGAGTTTACTGTCTCTCCAAAAGCAGGAAGTCTCTCCTTAGGGCTGTCTGCCCCATGGAATGGCAAGAGGCCCATGAGCCCATCCCTGTCTCCTCCTCCTCCTGCATGGTGCTCACCCACACCTGGATCAGGCCCATGGTCTGCCTTCCAGAACCAACAGTGCTGTTCTTGAGGTAGGCTCTTGGTCGAGTCTCCAAATGACAACTTGGAGAGTGGACTTAGGGCCCTGACCCGACCTTCAGTATCCTCCTCTCCCACCTAGATGGAGCCCAAATCAGGACTGGTGGGGTAAGTCTCCCACGCCCAGCCTCAAGTGCATGCTGCAGTTTCCAATCTGGACTCCTGTCTTTTAGGAGTTAGGGAGTCTCCATCATATAAAGCTGGCGTTCTGACCCCCTCCTTGGGGCCAAATACTCTATACCAAAGGGGCAGATGAATAAGTAACTGGCACCCTAAACCTCTAACAATTACTATGTTATGAATCAATACGACTGCAAAACACGAAGCAAATACCTGATATTTAATATACAGACTCTCATGAAGAGAAAATACAAAATGTTTTCACAACAATCTCCTTGATTATCTGCTTCATTTCCCTTGACCCCAAAGTGGACACCTGCGCTTCCCTTAGGAGTCTGCTTCTCTTTACTGTGGTATCTCAAGACCTTCTGTGGATAAAGAAAGGATCTCCCTGGCAGCATGCAGTAACTGTAACACCTGCCTTCATAAGTCATCAACTGAATGAGGACGTGCCACATGTGAAAGCCCTCCGAAAAAGGGAAATGCTACAAAACGAATGTCTATTCCATACATAGAGTATTTCTTCACATCTTTTCGTAAGCCAGAAGACTCCGAAAGTTGAAAGCTACACCACTTCATCTTGCAGAGAGCCCAACGTGGGGCACAGGGAGCTCAATGGAGGCCCGTCACTTCTGGAAACCACTAGCCTAAAATTCCCAGTAAAAACTAGAGACGTGAGCACCCAACGTCCTGCCCTGTGCTGGCACTGGTGAGAACTCGAGCTTACCTGCATGAGCTCTGCGCGGACTGGCTGAATGTGGTCATAGAGGAAATCAGGCTGCAGGTTGTCCACACACAACTCCAGGGTCCTCAGGCCTTGGCTGACCAACGTCTGCGACCCGTTGAGAGCAGACACCAAGGGGTCCATCAGCATGGGCAGGTACGGCAAGAGCGAGCTCAGCCTCACGGGCACCGTGAGACACAGCTCCACGAAGAGGTCCTTCATGTGCTGCTTGTGCAGACCGCTCTGCAGCATGTTCAGCCCTAAACACAGGGTTTGCGGACGTCAGAGAGGACAGTTACTCCCAGACAGGCCGAAGTCAACTGTACCAAGTAACGGTTCTGCCTTTTATTATCAACATACCTTTTCTGTAACCATGACCCCTTCTGTCGGTCATGTTCACAGTAACAACAGCAGGCTGAACACAATTCTAAATTATAATTTAAGCTATAATTACTTAACATCAATCTTAATGAAACCGTTAATATTGTACATAGATCTTTTAAAAGTCGTGTTACGTGGGGTGCCTGGGTGGCTCAGGCGGCTGAGTGTCTGAATCTTAATTTTGGCTCAGGGTCATGAGATGGAGCCCCACGTTGGGCTCCGTGCTCAGCGTGGAGCCTGTCTGGGATTCTCTCTCCCTCTGCCCCTTCCACCCCTCAAAAAATAAATAAATAAAATCCTGTTATGTTTTTAACAAGCCCAATCCAAAGACACAGACCAGTAAGATGCATTCACCTCAAGCTTGAGGTTTACAACTTTACATCTTTTATCAGGCTTCCAACAGACCACAATTGAGGTCTATGCTGTAAAATAAACATTTTCTTTTAAAAAATCCACTTCTGTTTCCTATCAATAGAGAGGAACTTCCTTTTTACAAAGTCAACCTCCCCACTCTTCACGAGGGTACCCTGAACTCCTTCCTAACTGAAACATGTCAGATCAGGACGTGCCCTGAGTGCTCAGAGACAAGCTAGAAAGGATGGAGAGACCCAGAGAAAAGAGGTACCACAGCAGCATCACTGGATTCAGAGTCCAAAGGAGGAGGAGGAGAGGGAAAGACCAAGTTCCCACAAGGGGATCCACCTGAACACAACAAGGTAGGGAGAAATGAGCTTGGGGACAGCACAGAGAGTGCAGGAGGAGGAAATCAAACTCCTCAGAGCAGAGGGCTCGGCTGGGGATGACCAGAGATGGGGTTAAATATGGACAATGGAGCTGGATTATGGGTGGTGGACATAGGGCCATGTTACAGGCAATGTGGTCAACCATTTCCCAATGGCTCCTAAGTATCGTATGTTGTAAACGGCTTCTTTTTAAGGAGCCCCTTTTTTAGCTCTGTATCTTGGAAGCATTCCTGCTTACATGGCAACTATAGGATTCTGTTTATGCAAATGTGCAGCAAAATAAAAATATAAACTTATAAATCAGGTTTATAATTGTCTTTTCCCTGTCTTACTCAGATTCTTTCAATCTAGGGATCCCTGACATTATTACTAAGCAACCCTAGAAACCATTTTCTAGGCTTGCTTATTACCAAAGGCTACAAAAATACAACCAAAGCCTGACCAGGGTGATGAAAACCTTCCAACTCTGTTCAACTCTGAGCAGGGAGGGGAAGGTCCATCCCTGAACAGGAGTGCTCCCTTCAAAGTCCCACTGCCTTTAAAGAGAGTGGGACACAAGGATGGATGGATGGATGGACACACACACAGACACACACACACACACCCCTCTGGCAGGTGACATACACACCCATCCCCTTACCATGACCTTCGCTGGGTGCAGAGGATGAACCCCACAAACACAGGCAGCCAAACTCATACGTGCACACAAGACTAAAAGGCAACCAAAGTCACTGCTCTGACCTTGCAGGAGGTTTGGTAGGAGAGGCAAAAACTCCTGATACAGGAGGTCATGGCTGCCTCCCCCAATGGAGCGGAAGAGAGCCCGAAGAAGCAGGAAGTAGTTATAGGGTTCTTTGGCAGTCTGTGCAAGCTCCATGGAGCTGTTCACAATCTTGTGCAGGTGGGGCTGCAGGGTGGAGAAAAGGCAGGTTAATAGGCTCTAAATGAGGAGGGGCCACACCAACAGTTCACTGCAAACAGGAATGGAAGGTAATTCTGATGACTTCATTCCAAAAGGAAAAACAAAACAAGACCTTTCCAACCTTTATTTGGCTCAAATTAATTGGTCTTAAAATATATGCTGGTTTCCACCAGGGTGGCCGCAAAAGAAGCATTTAATAGGTTCCTACGTTACTGTGTAGTTACCTGATGTTGAAAAGGTGACACCCTTTTTTGGCCCTGCAATTCCTGGGAATATGGTCACTTCCTTTATAAGACTAAGTCATCAAACAAGATGAAGATGCCCATTTCCTATAACAATCTAAGTGCAAAAATCACCTAAGGGAAGTGAAACTTCACTATCAAATATGATACACACACAGTTTGAAGAGCCGCAAAAATTGAGATCATAAGGGGGCATCTGACTCTCGATTTCAGCTCAGATCCTGATCTCAGGGTGGTGAGACCCAGGTACGGCTCGCACTCAGTGCAGAGTCTGCTTGTCCCTCTCCCTCTGCCCCTCCTCCCGCTTGCCTGCCTGTGTACGTGCGCTCTCACTCAAATGAATAAATAAAATCTTGAAAAAAAAAAAAAACTGAGATTATAAGGTTTTGGAAGACTTAATCGGAAAAAAATGGGTATTTCTTTAATAAAAAAAGCACTGTATTAGCTTATCATAGCTTTAATTAATATTTTAAGCCAGATTAGCTTTTTATCTTGTACTTTTCAGGTCCTGGTTTTAACATGTGACAGGTTAGGCTGCACGTGAAACATTTTACAGGCTCATTTAACGTGAACTGAGAAGTGCTGTGTGGTCGATGACATAGTTCCCAATTTGCTGTCATAGGTGGCACGATAGATTTATTTTACAGACTAAATCAACCATATCTATTATTTTGACAAAAAGTTCTATGAAATTTATTCTTTGAATGTTTTTCCAGAACAATACTCCAACAACCTACCATTAGGGTTTGTTCTGTTTTTGTTGTTGTTGTTCTGTATCTAACATTAGCAAAATTTAAATTTTTTGACGATACCAAATCATGCGGACACAGACTGAAATCAAATATTTCTTCTTAGAAAAATTCAAGTATTTTTCTTTCATATGAACACAAAAATAATGTCAAGGTTGTTGACAAGTGATTACTCTAGAACTGAAAAACTCCCTAAGGAAACAGTCACATAAAAGCAGAGATGACCGGTGCTCTTTGTCACCATCTGTACTTTTACTACTCCAGGAAAAAAGAAAAAAGGATCTTGTTTACTTCTTCAGAATTCCCCCACAGGAAGACATCACTCTTCAGAGACAACTGGTGATAACATTCTACTTTCCACAAGAATTAAAATATTCTGCCTTCAGTGGAAGTGAATTTTTATTAGGTTTTCTGTTACACCATCTGCTGCTTTTTCAGTGGTAGATGGAACCACGGGTAAGTTTTTTAGCCATTTGCTAAAATCAAATAACTGATGACATCAAATTATACTGCACTAGTCATCCACAAAAATGTCAGGACGCACATCCCTCCAAGACAGTATTCATAAGGAATACAAATTGGTTAGAATTCTTGATCTAAAGGGGGGAAATAAACAACCGGTCCCAAAATGAGATGTTCACATATTGCCACAGAAAATAAGAACACAGAGTAGAAACAGAGTTAAAGTGGAGGAAGGCTAACGTCATCAGAACGGTTACAAAGCCAACTGTTTCTCTTCAGCTAGAACTCGGTGCAAACATTTTCTCCTTCTTTGTTCCTTTCCATCGCTCAGTTTTTAAAATAGGAACGATGGGTTCCTATTTTACTTGTGTCATCAATCCAGAGAAGGAAATTCGAATTAAAAAAAAATCAGCGGTGGCGATACCATCAGCAACCCGCTGCCGACCACAGGCATCCTGAAGTTCTTGCTTTAAATCTCCGATACATTCAGCTCTGCTTAGAAATGTATGAAATGTTTCTCACATCTGGTCCTTACTGGTTCCAAGTATTTACTAATTCAAAGAGCACTTTACAAATATAAAAAAAGCAACTCCAGTCTGTGCAAAAGTGAAAACAGGAATTAAAACACAACAAAAAAAACCCCAAACGAAGTACACTTGGATCTAAGTGAGCTTTACCTTCAGCATTTGTTCGTTTTCAGCTGCAAAGAGGGAGACGGAGCCAAAGACCAACTTGAACAGCTTGAGGTACAGGTTGGAGAGCTCCACATGGGAGCCCATTTCCGGCAGGCGGTCCAGGAGGTACTCCACCAGAATTGTAGCAAACAGGGCCGAGGTAGTAGGGTTCGCCAAGAAGGAATTGGCAACGATCTGTCCAAACAAGACACACGTGTGACAAAAATAATCCCCTCCTCAAAGGAGCTTGAGCACAAAGTAATGAACTGTCCCAAAGTACAAAATCAAAGCTGTATCAGATACTCCAAGAAATTAACTATCCACCCAAGGGAAAAAAAATTAATAAATCTGCTGAGCATTGAGTGGAGTTCACTTCAAATACGTAAGTCCCTTATTTTATCCTCACCATCAAATACCAAGAGCCTACATCATTTCTACTAATGAAAGAAACTGATCCAAAACATCTTGATATTTTGAAAAAAAAGATTTTTCTTAAAGATTTTATTTATTTGAGAGAGAGAAAGTGAGAGAGACCAAGCATGAGAGGGGACAGGGGCAGAGGGAGAGGGAGAAGCAGACTCCCCGCTGATCAGGGAGCCCAACACGGGGCTCGATCCCAAAACCCTGGGATCACGACCCAAGCCGAAGGCAGACGAGCAACCCACTGAGCCACCTAGGCTCCCTGAAAATTTTAATATTATACCCTAATTTTTCTCTAGTCGGTTAACCGTCCAATTCTTGATTTCAGCTCCAGTCATGATCTTAGGGTCCTGAGATCGAACCCCACATCAGGCTTTGCACTCAGCAAATGGGGGGGGGCAGAGGGAGAGGGAGGAAAAATCTCAAGCAGGCTCTCTGCTCAATGCACAGCCCAATGTGGGACTTGATTCCATGACCTCGATCACGACCTGAGCTGAAATCAAGAGTTTGACCCACTGAGCCACCAGTTTGTTTGAGATTCTCTCTCTCCCTCTGCGCCACCCCCACCCCCTGTTCGCATGTGTGTGTGTGTACTCTCTTTCTCAAAAAATACTAAATAAATTTTTTCTATAAGCACATCCTTAGACACATTACTTAGAAAGCCCTCCAAATAAACAGAAAGCCAAGTATTCAACACTTAAACCAGTAACTTTAAAGTTAATGTTGAAAAGATATGAAAAAGGAGTTTTATACCTGAAGAGCATAATTTTTTGAGATTCTTTCCACCATATAAGGGACCGTTGTTTGAAAGATCTCTTTAAAGGTTAGGGGATTCATCATTGTGAATACACCGGCAAAGTGTTCCAACACCTCCTTCTCTTCCTTCATTCTGACCGTCTGGCAGTTCGCTACTCGAATGTATGTTTGTCCATTTCCTGCTATCTGGACCTAGCACAGGGAGAAAACCCATGGACATCAAAACTACGCATCTCTGAATGTATTCCATAAGTAGATTACCTACATATTTAAAATGGAACATTTTAATTAGATAAGAAATGCCCTGTCCCATCTTTTAATTCACTATTCTCAGCTTAATTTTGGAAAATAATTAAAACAAACAAAAAAGCTTTTTTAAGGGTTCCAAACAGGAACAAACTGAGTCAACTTCAATTTTGTTTCTACTGCCGTCCACTTACACCACCCGCCACCCCAGAGAATGCACACACTGACGCAAGTGAGATCCTTCCCCGTTAACGCGATGCTACACTACTGAACAAAAGCAAACCTGGGCAGACAAACACTGTCGACCAGCCAAAATCATGACAGATGGGACTCTCAAGACCCCTTCCATCACTAGCATATCTCCTCCACACTTGGGAGCCTGGTTCCAGGGCACTGCCTTACCTGATAAATATCTAAAGCCTGCATTGCATATTTCACAAGTTTTATGTAAATCTGAGTCTCTTTGGGCTGTAACTGCTTGTTGGGAATGAACTGAGCTTCTGGAAGAGAGAGAGCATAATCAGTTACTGCGAATAAACCCACTCTGTGAAAAACATCATGTCTAAATAATTCAAGAGCAGAATTACCACCAGGCGCTTTACATGACGTTATGCCCCATGTGATTGTCTTGACGCCACAGACCAGGGTTTTTACCAAACTTCGACAATCTGTGACCTGGAATGTCTGCTTGTCCTCCTTATCCTTTTCTCCTTGCTTTTCAAATGGAGGCACAGGGGCTGGGG